CCCACACAGGTGCAGGGACCCAAGGCTTTGGGCTGTCCTCTGCTGCTTTCCCAGGCCACAAGCAGGGAGCTGGATGGGAAGCGGGGCCATCGGAACACAAACTGGCACCCATATGGGATCCTGGTGTGTGCAAGGTGAGGACTTTAGCCACTAGGCTACCACTCCGGACCTGGTTTTACCTTTTCATGGTGGTGAAAGGTGCACATACGTGGTTTTGCCGGCTGGGATCCTGGGCGCAGCTCTGGGAAGGCAACTCGGTATGGGGCTGGGGGCAGGCTCGCAGTGCTGACTGCTCGGCCAATGCCTCACCTCGCTGGCCCTGTACCACCTGTGACCTGGCGCTCTGACGTGGTGTGCACACGGGGAGCTAAGGCCAGCGAGCTGGGCCACCTCCCCCAGTGCTCCTGTCTCCCCACCAGAGATGACACCACCTGGGCCCCTGCACCCGCGGCGGCTGTGGAGCTGGCTCCTGCCTGCTTCATTTGATTTGTTTGCTGGCTGTCGCCTGGTTGGCATGCTGGCTCCCTGTGCCCCTGGCACCAGGCCTGGCTCCAGTCAGAATCTCCTTGCCGTGGGCCCAATGGCCTTGTCCAGAGGGACTGAGAACCCCGGGGCATGGATGGTGACATCTGGCTTACAAGCCCAGGCTCAGGCCCCCAGGCTGTTGGCACTGTGTATAGCTGTGTGCCAACCCCTTAGGGCCTCTGGGCAACATTGGCTGCAGGTGAACCTCGGCGGGGGCGGAGCCAGAGCAGGGGAGCAGGTGGAGGTCCAGCTGTTGGCAGATGCAGAGCACAACGTGGGGAGGATGGGGCTGAAGTGAAAGGCTCAGTTAGGCTGAGTTGTTTGGGCACGTGGAATAGGAGTGGGCCTGGGCCCTGGCTGGCACAGCGGTGGTGCCCTGGAGGTGATGCTGTGTGCAGGGGTCATGGAGGGACCAGTGGAGGGGACCAGGGAGAACTGGCAGCTGACTGGCCTCCGGTACAGTGGCTGCCAGGCTGCGGGGTGATGTGGAATTATTGTCATGATGAACAAGACAAGTTGGCATTAGAAGTGAGGTTCCCATGGCGCCCCAGGAAGTTGGGCCGCCTCTGACGCACCTGGGGAAAGGATGAGGGCTTGGCTTGCACCCCGACTGTGGCATAGGGGTGACTGTGCTAGATCCCAGGAGCTTTGTAAGGAAGCCTTTGCTGACACTGGACTGGGCCTGGGATGGCTGTCCTGCCTCTGGTTTCCACAGGGGGCACTCGCGGCCGCCACCATGTTGGCAGAAGTCCAGGGACAGCATGTTGTGAGGGTCACACTGCCTCACCCCTGTGTGGTCACTTCTTGTGAGGGGGCAGGCATGAGTGTGTGCTGTGCCAGGAGGGCATGGGGCAGGCATGAGTGTGTGCTGTGCCAGGAGGGCATGGGGCTGGCATGTGTGTGTGCTGTGCCAGGAGGGCATGGGGCTGGAGTGTGTGTGCTGTGCCAGGGGAGCATGGGGCTGGCATGTGTGTGTGTGCTATGCCGGACATGGCATGGGGTTGGCATGTGTGTGCTATGCCAGGCATGGCATGGGCTGGCTTGTGTGTGCTATGCCAGGCGGGCATGGGACTGGCATGTGTGTGTTATGCCAGGCGGGCATGGGGCTGGCATGTGTGTGCTATACCAGGCATGGCATGGGGCTGGCATGTGTGTGCTGTGTCAGGCATGGCATGGGACTGGCATGTGTGTGCTATGCCAGGAGGGCATGGGGCTGGCATGTGTGTAAAGCAGCTGGGACACAGAGGATGGTGGTGTCTCAGGGGACAGTGGCTTCACGTGCTGGGCCCCTGGGGACACCAGGCGGAGGTGTCCAGCCCGTGGCTGTAGCTATGGCTCCAGTCCTCCCGAGGCCAGGGCCATGCGCTGTGCATCTTCCCTGGGGACTGGATGAGGGCTCAGCTCCCCATGTGGCCCTGAGGGTGGTCAGCTGTCCCACCTGCTGTAAGTCACGCCGGCAGCCTCTACCACCGCTGCTGCCATCTGAGTGGCCAGCCCGCCATCTCCTTGCTTCGTTCCATGCGGAGTGAGGCTGCAGGTGCAGGCTCAGCACCCCCCGGTGACAGAATCCAAACCCCTAAACCCCCAGAGCCTCAGGGCCAGCACGATGCCCTGAGTGGAAAATCCACCCCACAGAACTCTGCTCAAATGGTGTGCTCAGTCACATTGAAGCTCCTGTGTGGGGTGCATGTAAAATACACTCCAGTTCCACGCTTGGGCCAGGAGCCCTCTCCCCAGCTAGCTTCTATGAAAATTTAGATGTGGAAAAATTGGAAGAAAACCCAGAATCTGAAGTGGTTCTGGCTCCACTGGCATTTGGGGGTCAGGAGGGCCTCACCTGTCGCCACCTAGGTCGTGTGGTTGGTGGAAAACGCGTGGAGTGGTAAGCTTGTGCAGTAGGTGCGCTGGGGGCCACGTGAGGGGCCAGCCCGGGGTCTGCAGGCCTGACAAACTCCCCACCCCCTCTGCGTGGACTGTTACCAGAAATGCCCGATGGGTTCCTTCCTCAGCTTAGCATAAAGATAAGCAGCCGGGAATCTGTTGCAGACAGAAAAAGTTTATTTGGGAAGGGACCAGGGCAGCAGGAAGGGAGGGAAGGGGAAGCACCCCCGGAGAGGAAGCCGGAGGTGGGGGGCCTCTCGAAAGAGGAGGGAGACACCAAAGGTTTGAGGAAGGGTCTTGGGGTTTTAAGCCTTCCTGAACCCTCCTTGTTGGGTGGGGAACCTGCAGGTAAGATGTTCCCCATTGGTGGTCTCCTAATTAGTGAGAAAATGGGTGGACAGTGCTGGTGCTGCCCGCCTGAAGGTGTGGCCAAGACCTCAGCAGGCCTGGGTGGTCTCCTGGACCAGGCACCTGTGAGGGTGCGGTGGCTCCTCAGAAAAGGCCTGGGCCCAAGAGGGGGCCAGTCAAGGTGGGTCCTTCAAGGACATTCTGATTCTGCCCGGTCCCATGTGCCCTAAGGCTCTCTCCTCTCCCCAGCCCTACCTGGGAGAGGCACAGCTGGAGTTCCCTGCCCCCACCTGGGAGGGGCACAGCTGGAGTTCCCTGCCCCCACCTGGGAGAGGCACAGCTGGAGTTCCCTGCCCCCACCTGGGAGGGGCACAGCTGGAGTTTCCTGCCCCCACCTGGGAGGGGCACTGCTGGGAGTTCCCTGCCCCCACCTGGGAGGGACACAGCTGGAGTTCCCTGCCCCCACCTGGGAGGGGCACAGCTGGGAGTTCCCTGCCCCCACCTGGGAGGGGCACAGCTGGAGTTCCCTGCCCCCACCTGGGAGGGGCACAGCTGGGAGTTCTCTGCCCCCACCTGGGAGGGGCACAGCTGGAGTTCCCTGCCCCCACCTGGGAGGGGCACAGCTGGGAGTTCTCTGCCCCCAGCTGGGAGGGGCACAGCTGGAGTTCCCTGCCCCCACATGGTAGGGGCACAGCACCAGTTCAGTGGGTCCCTGCAGCTCCTGTTAGGTCAGTGTTGACTGGAGAGTAAGAAGTGGCACCCAGCCCCAGGGGTGGCAGGTTGGGGTGCTTTGGGGAGGGGCGAGGAGACAGCCTCCATGTAACGTGTGCAGATTGTGGCAGCCTGTTAGGTGTCAGCAGATTCTCACGGAGTGAGACAGTGTTAGTCTCAGAGGTTCTACAGCCTGCGTGACACCGACTGGCAGTGAGGGTAGGCTGGAGCCTGGCTGGGTGGGTGTTGAGAGGGGCTGAGAGGGCAGGCAAGGAGACCCTCCAGGTGCTGTAGGTGGCAGCCCTGCCCCTCCCCCAAGGCACATGCTCCTCCTTAGGAACCCCAGGGCCTCATGATTCCCGCCCAGAAGGCTGGGAGCCACAGCGCCTCCTCCAGGGACACTGGTCCTGCTGTGCCTCCGGTGTCCCCGGGCAGGGAGCAGGTGGGCACTCATCTCCACTTCTGCCCTCTCGCTGCTTCTCCTTCCTCTCTCCCATGCCCCTCCACCTCCTCTGGCTCAGGGTGCCTCCTAGACTGGACAGTACCATTCCAACACTAGAGGGAAGTGGCCTGTGGCCACTGTGATGCCAGGTGGGGGCTGAGGGCCCCCTTCTTCCAGAAGCAGTCTTGGCAGTGTCTGAAGGGGAGTCGGGGGCCCCTCCCCACCACGCCCAGCCTGGAATCCGAGCTCGCACCTCTCAGGGCTGTGTCTGGGAACCCAGCTCTGCACAGGCCCACGGTGGGCCAGGGTGGGGTGCGAGGAATAGGTGGGCACTGGTGCTCCAGGCTGGCCTTCCTGTGCCCGCTTGGACAGTGGAGGGACACGACGCCCCCACAGCCTCTGCCAGGTTCGTATGGCTGCCACGTCCCTGTATGGAAATCCGTGTCTCCCACATGCACATGGTACAGCAAGTGTTGGCACGGGTGCTTTTCACTCTGACCCCCTGTGACTGTCTGTCGTCACAGGGCATGCCCCTCACTCCCTGCCAGTGTCCTGGCACCTGCTGGCCCCATATCCCTGCACCCTCCCATGGGCATCAGCTGTGACCAGTGCTGCCAGCTCTCCCATCCTGTTGTACTCCGTCAAGTTCTCTCTTGCAGGGCGGCTCCATGGCGTCACCCTTGGTGAGGAGCTCTGGTCACTCCTGGCATGTCCTCCGTTGAGCTGTCCCTTGTCCCCGCCCTTGTTCCTTGGAAATGGCTCCATCTTCTCTGCTGGCCTGCAGCCCTGCCAGGGGCATAGAGAGCCTGGCTGTGGCGTGATGGGTGGGGCTCGCTGAGTGCCCAGCAGGTGGCTGTGGTCAAGGTCCTCGTCCCTGACAGTCTTGGCTGGGCACAGGGCAGCAGGGAGTGGACAGCTGCAGGAGGAACAAATGGGGACACAGGGGGTCTATTCCTGCTTGGACACATCTCTGGCGCTGTTTGTGGGTTCTTAGGGCCCCAGTCCCAGGTCCCCAGCCCTTGCCCTGGTTCTTCACCTGAGCTGCGGAGGGCAGTTAGGTCGCCTCCCGGGAGGGGGAGGGCAGCGGTCAGGAAGTGGGTGCCTTTGTTCAGCTTCTGTTCTGGGTGTCTGGTGGCAGGTGCAGCCTTGCTGCGTGGGGCACGCTGCAATCTATTTCGGTATTACCGGGAAGCCTGTGCCCAGGCCCGCCCCGGCCAGGGGCTGTGGCGGCCACCGCGTGACCCTGGGCATGTCCTGAAGCTCTGCCACTTGTACAGCTGGGCCTGGCCCAGAGCGGGAGCTGGGGACCTTGTGGAAGAGGCTGCTACCCATGGGGACGCCCGGGGGAGGGACAGGTAAAGTCCACAGCCCCTTGGGGCCCAGGAGGGAGCTGAGTCTTCAGGTCTGAGTGGCTGGCGTGAAGGGGGAGGTGTGTGCGGTGAGTGCCAGCGCCGGATGCCAGCTGCATGCTGGGGTCAGGACCGGCCCTGCCTGCCCCGGGGCGGGGGAGGGGAGGGGCCCCCATTGACACAAGGAGAAGGGGTGTCCGCTGACCTGGCTGCCCTCTCCACTCTTCCTTCCTTTCCCTACAAGGTGCTGTCCCACCCAGGGACGAAAATGTGCCCATGGGAAGCGGTCAGGGTGTGGCAGGGCCCCCAGCCCCGGGCCATTGGTGTCTTGGGCAGCCCCTCACAGAAACACATGTTCTGGTGCAAGGGAGAAGAGGCCCTGGCCACTGCTGAGTGGAGAACTGGTCAGTGACCTCACTGGGACTCCAGTCCCACCTGGTCACAGCCAGGTGGCTTGCAGAATGGAGTGGGGTCGCCCGGAGGGTCAGGGCGCAGGGAGAGAAGAAAAGGGGGCACGGGGAGGGGCCTCAAACACAGCCTGGGGGTACACAGCAGGTGCCTGGCTTGCTCAGAACACAGGTAGCTGTGGGGACACTCCACCATGGCCAGACCTGGCCTGAGCGCAGACCCCTTGCTCCTGCCTGTGGTGAGTGACTTGGCCGGGGTCAGGTAGCATCCTGGCTATGGGCTGTGTGCTGGAATGTTCTCAGTGTCCCTGTGGATTTGAGAGGCTGTGGGCTTGTGATGGTGCCCAGTCCCTGGAATGGTGTCCGTGAGTGGGGTCCCCTGCCCAGCTGGGCTCCTGATGTCCTCTGCCACGCTGGGGTGCTGTCATGCTCGCTGATGGCATGGGACAGCTGGGATCAGCCCTGCCCCTGATCACGTCTAGCTCGGCTGCGTCACTCGTGTGCCCAGCTGTCAGCGTGTCTGGGGAATTGCTCATGCGCAGTAAACACTGAGCTAGAGAACACCGTACTAGTCCTAGAAGCATGTGTGGGGTCCGTCTCGGTGATCTGGGGTCGGTCAGTGGCTTCCTAGAAGTGTCACCGCAGTCGCCGGTGATGACAACAGCATGAGGCTGGTTTGTTGGGTGTCCTGAAAGCTAACGTGTGTGGCCTGGGACACAGGGTAGTGCCACAGGTGGAGCAGGCAGGTCCTGGGCAGACGTCTCTAAGGAGCACACCTGCCACCCACGGCCGCTGGGGAGATGGGGTCATAAACCACAGCTCCCTGCTACACTGCGGCCGGCCACTGCCCACGCCATCCCAGGAGGTCACGGACTGCCACTCTGCAGGCCGGCCACTGCCCACGCCGTCCCAGGAGGTCACAGACTGCCACGCCGCAGCTGACCACTGCCCACGCCGTCCCAGGAGGTCACAGACTGCCACCCCGCAGCTGACCACTGCCCAGGCCATCCCAGGAGGTCACTCCCCTGGACTGCCACTCCGCAGCTGACCACTGCCCACGCCGTCCCAGGAGGTCACTCCCCTGGACTGCCACTCCGCAGCTGACCACTGCCCACGCCGTCCCAGGAGGTCACGGACTGCCACTCCGCAGGCCGGCCACTGCCCAGGCCATCCCAGGAGGTCACGGACTGCCACTCCGCAGGCCGGCCACTGCCCACGCCATCCCAGGAGGTCACGGACTGCCACTCCGCAGGCCGGCCACTGCCCATGCCATCCCAGTAGGTCACGGACTGCCACTCCGCAGGCCGGCCACTGCCCACGCCATCCCAGGAGGTCACAGACTGCCACTCCGCAGCTGACCACTGCCCACGCCGTCCCAGGAGGTCACAGACTGCCACTCCGCAGCTGACCACTGCCCACGCCGTCCCAGGAGGTCACAGACTGCCACTCTGCAGGCCGGCCACTGCCCACGCCATCCCAGGAGGTCACTCCCCTGGACTGCCACTCCGCAGCTGACCACTGCCCAGGCCATCCCAGGAGGTCACTCCCCTGGACTGCCACTCCGCAGCTGACCACTGCCCAGGCCATCCCAGGAGGTCACGGACTGCCACTCCTCAGCTGACCACTGCCCACGCCATCCCAGGAGGTCACGGACTGCCACTCCGCAGGCCGGCCACTGCCCACGCCATCCCAGGAGGTCACTCCCCTGGACTGCCACTCCGCAGGGCATCCCAGGAGATCATGGAAAATGCAGCACTGGAACACCATGCTCAGGTCTTAGTCTTTGTGTCCAAGTCAAGTCATTTTTTAAAAAGATTTATTTTTATTGGAGAGTCAAGATTATAGAGAGAATGAGTCACAGAGAGAAAGATCCCTGTTATGATGGCCTAGTGGCTAAAGTCCTAACTTTGAAACACCAGGATGGCATGGGACACTGTATGGGCACTGGCTCGTGTCCCGCTGCTCCACTCCCCACCCAGCTCCCTGCCTGTGGCCTGGGAAAGCAGTCGAGGACGGCCCACTCCCCACCCAGCTCCCTGCCTGTGGCCTGGGAAAGCAGACAGGACGGCCCACTTCCATCCAGCTCCCCGCCTGTGGCCCGGGAAAGCAGTGGAGGACGGCCCAAAGCCTTGGGACCTGCACCCGCGTGGGAGACCTGGGAGAAGCTGGATGGAAAGTAGAGCAACCAGGACATGGACCGGCGCCCATATGGGATGCTAGTGCTTGAAGGGGGAGGATTAGCCAATTGAGCCATGGTGCTGGGCCCTGTTCCCCTTTTCCATAGATTTTGGAAAGTGTCCTCCTAGCCATGATGATGTTAATCCCTTGGGGCAGCTTCCCCCAAACTTAAACTTGCAGTGGTCTCGGGGAGCTGCTAGCCAGCCCAGCCCGGGTATAGACTCTAGGGGAATGACTGTGCTTGGGGATGTCCTAGCTGCTTTGTGGGAGGCACCACCACCTGGCAACAAGACAAACAAAATGGCACAACTGGCAACACCGTGTGGGACTGTAGGGTGGAATTCTGAAATCGTGGCACACAGGGCCCCTGACCCCAGTGAAGTGGGATGCCTCCCACGGGGCAGGCAGCTAAGGGGAACCAGCCAAGGACTGGAAAAGGGGGCATGGGGCACTGGGTCTGGCGGAGCCCCTGCCTGGCCCCCGACCCTGTGGTGAGTTGCCTGGACGGTATGCTAGGCCCTGCATGCCCAAGGGTGCCCCTGGGGGGAGGGTGGCCTTGCCCGAGTGTGTCCACCTCAGCACTTCCTCCCCACCCCTCCCCCATGGCTCCTGGGGCCGCAGGCCTGCAGTGTGCACGCCAGCTTGGCTGAAACTAATAACTCAGGAAGTGCTGTTCCTGCCCCCACGGATGGGGGAGGAGCACAGGAGTGATGGGGGAGGGGAAGCAAGGGTCACGGGAAGTGCCCTCACCCAGTCCCCTTGACAGGGATGCCACCGGTCTCTGATCCTGGGTGGGATGGAGATACGCTGCTGTGCCAGCCTGGGTTGGAGGTGCGTGAGAGCTGGGGTGTCGCCACAGAGCCCCCACCTGCCCTGGCTTGGGTGACTGCTAGCATGCCTGCGTCCAGCTGTGCCCTGGGGAGGGGTTGGACAGGCCTGGTACCAAAAGTCTCTGTGGGGCGGCAGGGTGGCGCCATGGGCGTTGGCTGTGGAAGGGCCAGCCGGGGAGTCCAGGGGCGGACAGGCTGGGAGGCCCCGCCCTGGCACATCTCCCTCCCGTCCAGGGCTCTGTGCCGAGGACCTAGCCACTCATCATCCAGCCCCAGCAGCTTCCTGTGTGTGCGGGTGGGGGTGGCACAGATGCCCGCTGTGCCCGAGCCTTCCGGGGCAGCTCTGTGAGATCCCTCCTGCCAGGAAGGCCTCATCCGGCTGTGAAATGACACTGCCCTGCCCGGCCCTCGGTGAGGGAAGGATGGTGTTAAGGAGCTGTCTCCTGCTGGGGGGAGGCCAGCCCAACACCCCCTACTACTCTTGCCTGCCCCACAGGAAGCCGTGGTCAAGCTGGGGAGGGGGCACTTGTCCTGAGGGCTGAGGGCATTGGCTGGGCTCCTGCAGTGGAGACAGGGCCTGGGGCCGTGGGAACAGGTCTCGCCTTGGAGCCAGAGGCAGGCTGCGGGGTGTACCCGGCAGGTGGGGGCACTGTCCCGGAGGTCGATGGGGGTCGGGGAGGCCCTGAGGGCAGGCCAGCCATGCCAGGAGGGCTTCTGCAGGCAGAGCTAGGTTGTGAGAGCTTGTCTAGGAGAGAGCCAAGGGAGCCAAGGACGCTGAGCCCTTTAGTACGCCACTGGGGAGGGCACGGGGACCCTGGAGCAGTGGGAGGTAAGTCAGGCACCTGGGCTTGGGGGCTGAACATGTGTTGACCATAGAAAGCCACCCAAGTTGGCGGGCCCACGGTCACTGGCACGTGAGGGGCTGCAGGCGACACTGCCTGGTGCCCAGGGAAGGATGCCTCTGGGCTCCAGACAACAGGGCCACCGCGCAGCAGGCACAGTGTGGGCGGTAGCAGCAGAGCTGCCCACAGGGGACACAGCGAGGACAGGCTGAATCTGGAGTGAGCCGGACTGGTTTCTGGAACACTGCCCAGGAGGTAATGAGCTCACCCAGGCCTGCAGTGCCAGGCAGCCCCGAACAGGGGGTGGGCACCACTGTCCCTGGGCCGGGCAGCAGCAGGGAGGCGAGAGGGGGCTGGCCCTGGCCAGCGTGTCACAAGCCCCTCACGGGAGCCAGGCAGGGGGTAGGCACTGCTGTCCCTGGGCCGGGCAGCAGCAGGGAGGCGAGAGGGGGCTGGCACTGGCCAGCGCGTCACAAGCCCCTCGCGGGAGCCAGGCAAGGGCCCCCAATTCCCACACTGGGCCCTGGGGATTGTAGCAGGAGACTTCCGGAGTCCTGGACGTGACATATAGGCTTACTCTGATGAGGTTTTGTTTCCATTGCGTGCATTTTCGGCGGGGGGCCTTTCTGGGGTGCTCATGTGTGTGTGCGTTGTGGGGCGGGGAAGTGCACGCTAGGCTCCCACCAGACGCAGGGTTCATACAGTGCTGGCACCAAGCGTCGTGTCACGTGTGGAATCCGAGGGCCCTGGCACAGGGAGGGCAGAGGCTGCCGTGTCTGTGTGCAACTGCAGACTGGGGCACTGGCGGGCCGGGATGGGCATCTCTGCTCACGCCCCTGGTGGTCAGTGCCTGTGGGCAGCAGGGCACCTCAATGGCCTCCTCCACGCGGCAGGTGGCTGGGGCCTCCCCATGGCAAGGCCGCTGGGGTCCAGGAGCCAGCATCCTGAGAAAACGCAGGTTGGCGGTGTCCTGTGAGCTGGCTTGGACGTCACCTGTTGTCATTTCCACCTCATTCTGTTACAGCAGCTCTGCCTGGGGCTCCAAGGGAGAGGTCTCCACCCCAACACTTCCTCGGGGAATGCTGAGCCATCATGGACAGGCGTGTGGGATGTGAGAGGGAGAAGGTTCCAGAAAGACCCTGTGGCAATGCAGAAATGGTACCCCATGCTGAAGGCCAGGGCAGATGGACATGGCAGGGAAGCAGAGCTCAGCCAGGCCTCGCCCCCGGCTTGCTGCTGGAGGGCCCTGGGCCCTCTGCCGACTCAGTCCCCAACACCCAGTGAAAACTGAAGCCACACACTGGGTTGTTTGCAAAGAGTGAAAGTTTATTCCTGTCAGAGCCCTAGGTGGTGGGGCTGTTGGAGGGTGTGTCCTGCAGGGCCTTTAGGCTACTGTGTGGAGCATGGCTGGGGGCACCCCAGCCTGAGGAGCAGGTACCAGCCCCCCGCTGACGCCAACGCCAGCCAAACACCCTGAGGACCGAGTTCCTGGCGCATGAAAGGGGTGGGGGAAACGCATGGGACCCCGGCAGCAGCTTCTGAGCAGGCGGCTGTCGAAGGGTGAGGGTTGTACAGAGGAGGGCCCTGGGTAGGGGGTCAGGGGTATCCCCCCAGTGTAGGCCAGGTCTAGTGTGAGCACCCAGGATAAAGCTGAGGCGGGGGAGGGGAATGGGTCCCATTGGGGGTGGGGCAGGCGTCTTGGAGGTGCCCCCATGTTCACGTGGCAGTGACATGGCAGGGCAGGGAGGGTGGCTCCTGGGAAGCACCTCCCTCACACATATGCAAATGTGCCCAGCAGCCCTTGACCACCAGCTTCCTTGGGGATGGAGATGAGTCGGCGTCATCACAGGGCCCAGAAGCAGCAGAGAGCTTGGGACCCAGTGTGTCCAAGCCAGGGGGGTCCAAGGGGTGGGGGCAGTCAGAGACCCACAGGGCTGCTTGCCGGACTGGGCGGCCATAGCCTGGCGGGAATGAGAACAGCTACTTCGGCCACGGTTATAATTAGGAGTCGGTGCTAAAGTAGGTTAGGAAGGGGCCTGGCTGATTTCCAACAAGTCACCTTGAGGGACAGGGCCTCGACCCAGCAGCCTGTTCGAGGCCCAGGGGTGACTGTGTAATGGGGGCAGTGAGACTGGCAGGGGGCAGTGAGGACTTGTGTGTGGAGCCCCTCTGCCCAGGGGCCCTGTGTGTGGACACCAGGCGCACGTGGCCAAGGACAGAGCTGGTACAAGGACCTTGATGACAGCCACAGGATGGGGCCTAGGTCAGCATGCTGGGGTCCCACAGGCCTGGCCCCTGAGAGCCAGGGAGGGCAGAGAGGTGGACAGCAGACACCCGGTGTAGTCAGGGTGCTGCGCGGGGCCAGCTGAGCACTGTGGGGGGGGGCAGTGCTGGAGCTGTCCCAGAGAGGCCTGTCCACCCACTGAGCTGCCTCCTCCTGGAAGCCCTCCCTGACTGTACACGCATGTCTCCTGGCTGTGATGCCCTGGGCCTCCCCCTGCACCCAGCCTCAGCCTGCTGTGCACCTGCTGTTGGCACCTGTCACACCGTGTGTCTGGCACACCCATCTCCCCCCAGCTGAGAGTGCTGCTCCCTCAGTCCTGGGCCACCCCTTGGCCCCGTGGTCCCATCCAGTGCAGGCTGTCTGACCACTGCGGTCCTGCTTAGGACACAGCTTAGGGTGACCCCTGCCTGGGGAGACCCCTGCCGGGAGCTGATGTGTCATCTACCAGCTTGGTTTTCAGTCTCGGTGTCCTCCCTGGCCACTGAGCAGCCTTGACCTGGTGGACCAGCTTGCTTCAAGCTTGTCTGTCTGGAGTGTGGCTTGAGGGAAGAATCCTGGTTGGGGCCCCTGGCCCTTGTCCCCCCACCGCAGCCAGGGAAGTGAGCAGGGTATGGCCGTGGCCACAGGCCACTCCTGCTGTCCCCGACACAGGGAGCAGTCCCTCGAGGGGCCCAAGGTTCCGATCCACAAGCCCGGCCTTTGCAGTGTGGTTCTGTTTCGTATCCCAAGGGGGAGGCACTGCTGCCCAAGGCCTGGGGTGGATGCCTGCACGTCCTCCCCACCCTCAGCTCAACCTGAGAGCTGGCAGTGCCAGGCTGTGGGAGCTTGGGAGCGGCCGCCGTCTCTCCTGGGGGCTGTGCAGCCAGCCGCCTTGCCCAGCCTGCATCGCCTGGGGTCAGTTGAGGTGAAGAGACTGGGTGGGCAGGTAGTGTGATGGAGACGGCTGTTCCTGGACCCACCTGGTCGCACTGCAGAGCAGGTGTGGCTGCAGATGTGTCCTGGACCCCGACGCCACACCTTGCACACAGATGCGTGCCTGGATGATACAAGGAGCCGAGGGCCAGAGGAAGAGCCGCCTGCCCTCCCACTGCGAGCCTCGGGCAGGGACGGGCTGACATCCTGGTGTGTCCCCTGCAGGAGCCGCCGTGGCCAGCATTGTCTAGGCTGCCCACCGCAGCGTTCAGGTTCAGGCCCCTTGCCCTCTGCCTCTCCCATCAGCTGTGTTAAATGACAGTTGAGGTGACAGAGGAAGAGGTGGTTTTGCTGGTGCCAGCAGGGGCCCACTGTGCTGGTCCAGGTGTATGCGGCTGCAGGGGCCTCGCTGGGCCCACAGACCTGCCTGTCATTGAGCCACTGCAGGTGGCGGTGATGCAGTTGGTGCCTACCTGCTTGTCCACCTCTGCCTTGGGGGTGACCGGGAGGGACACCCACACTCTGCCTCACAGCCAGCACTGCCATGGCCCTCCCCTCCCTCTGCCTCTGGCCACAGCGGAGGCTTGGAGGCTTGGGGGCCACGGTTGTCCACTGCTGCCGCCTGCCTCTAAGCCCCCTGCCAGGGTGCCCGTGCAGGCCCCGAGCTCCAGCAGCCATCAGCCCTTGGGGCCGGCTTCTCTCTGCCAGCCAGCTCTCACTGGCCAAGCCTGCGGCTCTGTCCTCACTCCAGCCCCAGGACACACTGTGGCTGCTGCTGGCTGCTCAGCTGTGTCCACAGCCAGCATAGTCTATGCCGTGCAGGGCACGGCTCGGTCTTGGCCTACCAAGGCCTCTGGGGACCCTGGAAGGAGCTGGGCAGGCCGAGGGGTCATTCGCCCTCGAGAGGGTCACTAATGGCTCTGCCTCACCCTCACCCCAGCAGGTGCATCACACAGGGACCGGACCACACTTGGGGCGGGGCTGCCAGGATGGGAGCTCCAGCATGGGTGCTCCCAGGTGGCTGTCACCTGTCACGAGCCCCCTTGTTCCCCCCACAACGAAGAGAGCCAACGTCTAACCTGGCTTGTGGGAAGTGGGGTGCATGGTCCCTGGGCTCAACCCGGGCAGTAGCGCCTCCGCCGTCTGACACGGCTCCATGTTTCCCACAGTGTCCGAGCCCCCGGCTGCACACAGCCCCCCGGAGAAGCCGCCCAGCTCGGCCATCCTGTGCAGCACGTGTGGGAGCGTGTGCAAGGGCGAGGTGCTGCGTGTGCAGAGCCGCTACTTTCACATCAAGTGCTTCGTCTGCAAAGGTGAGCGCTCGGCTCGGGTTCGGGCCGCTGTGGCCCTCTTCGTCCCTCGGCATCCCTTCTGGCTAATGCTGGGGTCCCCGGAAACCCAGCCCCTGCCCACAGCAGTGCGACCCACGCAGTATGGTCTGTGTTGCTGGGGCTGTGCGGAGGTTCCCAGCCTTGCAGCCAGAGGAGGGAGGGCGCACGGGCGCAGCAGCGAGGCCAGGAAGGTCCAGTGTCCCTGTCAGCGGCGTGAGCCCAGCAGTGGGGCACATGAGACCCACCCTGGGCCACAGTCCCAAGGCGCCTCTCGCCTGCCTCGTGGAGTGGGGCCTCATGCAAACAGCCTGGCCTTCCCTGTAAGTGGTCAGATGAGCCACAAGGTGGCTGAGTAAGAGGGAGGAGGGAGCCAGGAGCACGGCTGAGCCCCCCACTCTCCCACCCTGCCTTCCTGTCCACCGCTGAGGCCTTGCTGGCAGGGAGTAGGGTGCCCTGCCCATGTGTACAAGCAGTGGCTGCCATCAGCGCTGTGACGGCAAGCTGGGTCCCCAGCTCCACTCTGGGCCCTGGGTTTCCTGTGGATTCAGCCTGGCTCAGCTCCATGATGCCCCCACAGACCCCGACTTCTCAGGAACCCTCAGTCCAAGTCGCAGGAAGGGCATGGAGCAGGCCCGGAAAGGGGGTGCTGGGGATCTTAGCCGCACAGTGAGAAAGAGAAGGGCCTAGCTTTCATCTGCTACTTAACCTGCTGAGTGCCTCCTGTCCTAAGCCTGGCCAAGTCAAATCCGGGAGGCCAGAGCTTGGTCTGAGCCTCACACATGGCTGGCAGGGGCCCAGGCGGCTGAGTCCTCATCTGGTGTCTCGTGGGGTGCAAGTGAGCAGGGACTGGACTCAGGAGTGCATCCTGCCCGGGATCAGCCAGTGCTGGCCCTTGGAGAGCTGTGGCCCCACAGCAGGGGCTCCGTCCTGCTCTCTGCAGGTAAGGAGAGGAACAGAGTGCCGGCTGGCCCTGAGGCTGGCCCAGGCAGGGCCTATTGATACCTTGAAGTTCTCTGTCTTGCTTCTGGTTTGTTTCTAAAGCTTACAGATGTTTATTGGAAAGACAGAGAGAGGAGAGAGGGAGGTCTCTTATCTGCTGACGGTGCCCCAGTTGCTGCGGCAGCTAGAGCTGGACTATCCTGAAGCCAGAAGACAGGATCTCCCTCCTACTGCCCTGTGCCAGGGATCCAGTGCCTCCTGGGGTGTCCAGCATCAGGAGACTGGAGGGGGACACAGACCAGGCACAGGATTGGGGTAGCACATACCCCAGGGGTGTCTTCATGGCTGTGCCAAATGCCGGCACCATGGCTTCATGTTTGAACTATGGCCAGCAGACTTGGCCCTGCCACACTTAGCAGGGCACAGACGGGACCACGCTGGGGATCACGGGACAGCATCCTCATGCCTGCAGCCTTCCGGTCTTTTCCTTGGACTGTGTCCTAACTTGGGCAGGTCTGCTCTGTGAACACTTCCGTGTCCTGACATCGTTTCACGGCTGTGCAATGCTACCCCGTCTGCCGAAGGCCCCGGAAGCTTCCATACCACCTTGTGTCCTTCCTGCAGCAGGAGTTGCAGGCCCGAGGGACCCAGCAGCCATGCAGGGCAAATGGACACAAGTTGATCATACCCTGTGTTTGATCACAGAATTCCATCTTGTAGGTGGGCATGTGAGTCCAGCAGGTACAGCGGTCATAGGAACTCCCACACCGAGGACACACTGCACAGTGAGAAGTCTGCAAACCAAAGGGAACCATGAGCCGTGCCGTGCCGGACAGGGGGGCCTCAAGCTGCAGGCCGAGCTGCCCTGTGCCCCTGTGGGCTCCCCCTCTGTTCTCATCAGGCCTGGCTGGGATGCAGGCGTCAGGGAGGACCGGGGTCGGTTCCTGCCCAAGACGCCTTCTCCCTGTGTGCTTTGGCAGTCATGGCAGGATGTGTGGGCGCGAGGCTGTGCGGCCCCTCGGCCTGCAGCGTCCTCCGCCTTGGTGCACACAGCTTCTGAAGTCACGCTTTCTCGAGAAGCTGCCACACAGTTCAGAAGCTTTGCACTGCCAAACAAGTTGCTGAAGCAGAATGTCAAGCCCTGGTGGCCAATGGCCATCGCATCGATTTGTCCTTGTCAGCATCCCCAGGGCCTCGCACACGCACGCACACACACACACACACGCACACACACACGCACACACACACGCACGCACGCACACGCACACATGCATGCACACGCACGCATGCACACACACGCACACGCACGCACACATGCACGCACGCACACACACGCACACGCACGCACACGAGCACATGTACATGCCACATACGTGGACACGTTGTTCGTGTGTGTGGACAGACACGCAGCCCACGGCCTGCTCTTCCTCCTGCTTGACTTCCTTCCTTGATGACGCAATGCCATGTCCACTTCCTAAAATGATGACTGATATCGTCCCAGCCGCACGTGTGACTGCGCACAGATGCCGCTCAACACGTGAGCGGTGTGGACGCCAGCCGGGAGTCAGCAGTCAGGAGACCCTTCCCTGGTGGCTCTGATGGCCACTCAGCAGTGTCCGTTGCTTCAGGCACCAGTGGTACTGCCCATGTGCCCACCTGTGCCCTGTGTCCCCTCCCGAGCCCTGTGGGCATCTTGCCTCTCCTGAACCTCTCCTGAGAGGTGTGTGGGTTGTTAGAAACCTCAGTGTCTTTCTGCACTGTGGCAGAGACCAAGCTGCGTCCACTTTTGGTTCATTCCGAGAGAGACAGAGACAGGCTCCTGGAGGTGGGCAGGGCTGGCGGCCAGCAAGGCTCATCCTCCATGCCAGGGTGCTCAACAGCCCCTCGCAAATCCCAGCTTTCGCTCCAGCCTCTGCAGGAAAAAGCTGCTCTGCCATAGGTCCAGGGCTGCCGGCGAGCCCACCACTCACCTGAGACTGACCGAGGCGCCAGGCTTGGGTCAGGTGGGACACTGGCCTGCCGGGATGCGGGCACCTGAGGGATGCAAGGGGACGGCATCCCCTACGTCTGACTCTCACCTGCCGTCCGTTCCCAGCATGCGGCTGCGACCTGGCTGAGGGCGGCTTCTTCGTGCGCCAGGGAGAGTACATCTGCAGACTTGATTACCAGCGCCTCTATGGAACCCGCTGCTTCCGCTGCGACCAGTTCATCGAAGGCGAGGTGGTGTCGGCGCTGGGCAAGACTTACCACCCCGACTGCTTCGTCTGTGCTGTGTGCAGGTGAGTCCCTGTGGTGGCCCTGAGCGGCCTGCTGCAGCCTTCGCGCTCCACACCATCCCTGGGTCCAGCCCTCTGACCGTGACTGCGGCTGCCGCAGCAGGCCGGGTACAACTTCTCTGCAGTCCCAAGTGGGGGGCCTGCAGCACTCAGGATTCACATGGCAACGGGGCCCTGCCCATGGCCTGTCCCAGCTGGCCGCGTCCCATGGGTCACCCATCCTCCTGCCCTCCATAGCTTCCAGCACATTCTGCTCGTGGGAATGTTCTAGAACACAGAAGCAGAGTTGGAAACAAGACTGGTGTTCCATCCTGTTCTCCTGGCCTCACCACACCCAGGTGAACAGGGCCTCTCACGGGGTCATGTCCAAAGTCCAAGACAGGAAGCTTCCAGCACAGGACACTGCCAGAGAGGGGACCCCGTGTGTCAGGGGCAGTATGGCTTGGGCTGGGGGTCCCTGGCATGTCTGACATCCGTGTCTGTGGCTTGGAGACAGGGCTGGGTTCCTGGGAAGGTCACCACTGGACGCTGTGTTTTACAAAACAGCAGCAGGTGGCCAGCGTCACACTGAGCAACTGGGGCTGGAGTTGGCCATCCTGCTGGCTCCTGGTGGACGAGCAGGACGTGGAACAAGACCTGGGAAGTGACCACTTCACACGTGGTTAGCAGGCAGATGCAGAGTGACCAAGAATGGGGCACAGGGCAGCTTTGTACATGCAGGGGTTCCCGGAGCCAACCGTAAGCAGGGGGACCCCAGGGAGCGAGCATTTCCCTGTGACGGGATAGATGGTGGCTGCAGAGGCAGAGGGGCCGGGCCATGAGGGGAACAAGCCAGGCCAGCCTCGTGGTCCAGGGAGCGCAGAGCAGAGGGCCTCTGAGTCCAGGGCCAGAGACATACCCTGAGGCACAGAGGGGCTCATGCGAGCTTAGTCACACCTCTCGTGGTTCCTGGGCAGAGCGATGGTTCTGGGTGAGCAGCCAGGGTGCATCGTGGGGACCCCAGAGGGCCCTGGGTTGGGGGCGAGCTGGGCCTGCTGGGCCCGGCTCGCCAAGGAAGGTCCTGCAGGCCCCAGCACCCACCAGCTGTCCCCCAGAGCTACAGCCAGCACGCTCCCGGGCAGGCGAGACTCTCCAGGTCCAGGAAGGTCAGCCCCTGGGAGCAGAGCTGGGGACACCTGCGAAAAACTGGTCAGACAGTGACTCTCAGATGGCTGTCATGGGCTGCAAGAGTGCTGAGAGGAATGGAGTCCTCTAGAACCTTCTAGAACTGAGGAATGTCACACCTTCAGGGTAGAGCTTCCTTGAGGCCTTGGTGGTTGTCGGGGCCTGTTGGGAGAGGGGTGGGTGGGTGAGCCCGAAGGTGTGGAGCAGAAGCCCGCAGAGGGGGTCAGAAGGACACGAGGAGATCTGCCTCTCTGGGTGCGGCGAGTGGGAGGGGCTGCAGAAATGAAGGCCAAATGTTTCTGGAATGTGAGGAACTCCGACAATCCGAGATGCCCAGGGAGCCACCACAGAGTAAGAGGAGAAAAGCCTGCCGGACATCCTCCTCAAGCCGCTGAGGCCAGCCTCTGCTGGCTGAGCCTCCACCTGTGAGGTCGGCGTCCCCTTTGGCACTGGATTGAGTCCCCGCCGCTCCACTTCTGATCCAGCTCCCTGCTGATGTGCCTGGGAAGGCAGCAGGGGACGGGCTACGTGCTCGGGCCCTGCACCCGCGTGGGAGACCTGGGCAGAGCTCCTGGCTTCTTCCCAGCCCAGCCCGGTTGCCAATGGAGGAGATAGAAGATGCCCGACTCTTGCTTTGCCTCTCGGATAAAATAATGCAAATGTAAATGTGTCACCACGACGTCCACCAGGCGCCAGTCTGCTGTGAGGTGCCAGGAAGGCGGGCTGAAGGCAGAGCCGTGGACGGTGTCCGTGATGCCACGTGGGAGCCGCTCACTGGGGCTGGAGCCGTGTGCTCTGCCCAAGGCCTGGGGCACAGAGCTGGGCGGGGGGCTTGCAGGACTCAGCAGCCCCACACAGCAGAGACCCTGCCCTGCAGCCCTCCCAGCAGCCCGCCCCACCCCTGCCCTGCAGCCCTCCCAGCAGCCCGCCCCACCCCTGCCCTGCAGCCCCACACAGGAACCTCCACGGCACTCTGGGCACCTGCCAGATACTGAGCACAGCTCCACACATGCCTGCTCTGAGATGGCCACGTGATGGAAAGTTCCAGAAAAGAGGAATCTAACCTGTAGGAACCGGAGGCTGGCGGTAGGGGAGTGTTTCCGTAGGTGTGGGCTCAGCTTTATAAAGGCTAGCTGCCAGAGACCCCGCCCCCGCACCCAGGAGGAGTTCCTGAGGGATGTGTGGATGAACCAATGCATAAAAGCCCTATCAGGCGAGTGCTGTTAGGCCTGTGTGCAAAAGAGCTGGAGCTCAGAGAGGTTGAGAAACTTGCCCTGGGTCACACAGGGCACAATTTGCTCCGGGGATCGCTGGCGCCCTCAGACTGACCATACCCTTGGAGCTGGACGGGAAGGGCATGTGCTGCCCCAGGCGTTCCCTTCAGCTGCAGTGTGAGGCAACACCAAAAACCCAGCTCCTGCAGACAAGATATTTTAAAGCACTGTTTATTTAAAACTGAAGTCCATCCTCAAAAAATCCACTAGAGCAAAACGCCAGAATTGTGAATTAAAATGGGGGTCCCTCTAGTGCCATGCAACTAGAGCTGTGCTGCTACGGGCCCAGCCTCCCCGGGCCCAGCCGGGCCTCCCTGCCCTGGCCTCCCCGGGCCAGGCTCGGGCTCACCATGGCCTGAGGTCCCGTGATTTTGCTGGTACAGGTGAGGACACCAAAGCTCAAATCAGTGACACCAAGATCCCCTGGGTAGCAGGGTGCCCAGGTCCCTGGCCCACCACGTCTGTCTGGGGAGCAAGGTCCCTGAGTGAAGACCTGGAAGTGGGCCTGGCTGGTAACACAACCTGTTCTCTTTCAGGCTGCCCTTCCCACCCGGGGACCGTGTGACCTTCAACGGCAAGGAATGCGTGTGCCAGAAGTGTTCCCTGCCCACGTTAGGGGGTGGCAGCGTGCACTCCACCCAGGGCCTCCGCAGTAAGTGCACCAAATTGGAGCGGGCAGCAGGCAGTGCTGGCTTGGTAGCAGCCCAGCTGCGGCAGCTGGGAAACCTCATTGGACAAGGATGATGGGGGCTGCCAGGGACAGGGTTCTTGTGCTGCCCAGCCCTTGCCATCCATCCACTCTGTCCAGCTCTGGCCCTGTGCACCTCCACAGCCATCATCTATCCACTCTGTCCAGCTTTAGCTCCGCCCGCCTCCACGCCCATGATCCATCCGCTGGGTCCAGCTCTGGCCCTGCCCGCCTCCACGCCCATGATCCATCCGCTGGGTCCAGCTTTAGCTCCGCCTGCCTCCACGCCCAGGATCCATCTGCTGGGTCCAGCTCTAGCCCTGCCCGCCTCCTCCATGAAGTCTTCTTGACTTCCTGTCCTCTCCATCACCTTCATATTGGCATTCTCCGTTCCCTGTGCTAGTCCTAGGCCCCCAAAAGCCCTTTGAGGGTTCCCCAAGCTATGGGCTCTTTGGCCAGGTCCTCTCCAGGTCCTTGTCCTGGCCCCGGGAGCTCAGCCTGCTGTGTGCGGGGGACAGGGAGCTGCGTATGCATTCGAGTGGACAGGCAGTGATCAGCCGGAGCATCAGGGGTTGCTGCTGTGGGGAGGGGTGACGCTCAGGTGGCCTCTCCCAGCCTGGGGTGTGGGAACTTGAGGGGCCCAGGCCACCAGACTGCCAAGCAGTCTCTGGACTCTGGCAGGGTGACCCCTGCGTGCTACGGGCACTGGCCTCCTATCCCAGCACAGAGGGGCTCTGGCAGGGCAGCCTCTTGCCCGCCGATGGTTTCTGGCACCCCCTCCAAGTGCCCATCTGAGGCTTCTGGAGGAGGCGTGGTGCTTCTTGGGCCCCAGGAGTTTGCGACACAGCCAGGGTTCGAGCCCACTCAAGCCTCCTTTGGAAGAGGGAGGGACTGTGGGAGGAGCAAGAAGTAGGAAGGTTCTAGAAGGGTCATGCCCCAGAGGAACCCAGACCCGTTCTGCTGCAGTGGACCATCATGGCAGAGCCAGGCCCAGGGTGTGGGGCAAGGGGGACGCTGCGGCCTGATTGCACCGGCACCATCCGGGACCCACTCAGGGCTTTGGCCAGTGGCGCTGTGGTAGGCAACACTTAACATGGAGACAGCGATGATGGTGTTCCCATGACAACGCATCCTTCTACACCTGCCTCTCTGCACCACCCCAGCTCAGTGACACTCCAGCCCCATGGGGGGGTGACAGGGGCGAGCTGGAGCCCATGCGGAGCGGTGGAGCTGGTCTCTGCAGGGGGTGTGAGGTTGGGGGTCCTGCAGCCTTCATAGCAGGCTGGGGGCTGCCACATCACACTTCTCTCCTTGGAGGGCGTTGGGGCTCTGACAGCAGCTGCGGAAACCGGAACTGGAGGCTTGGAACCGTGCTGTTGGGTGGCAGCTCAGGGGATGTGTGGGGCTGTGCTTTGTAGCAGCCCCAGCCTTGACCATCAAATACCCAAGTGCCCCCTGGGGAAGGATACCCCGACTGAGAGCCACCAAACTGGAGCTAGTGGAGTGCCCACCACAGTTGATGGAGAAGGCCACTGCCAGGCGAGGCCAGCCCATGAGCTCCGGGACCCACAGTGGCCTTCTGCACGGCGGAGGTGGTGGGACCGAAGGAGGAGTGTGGGTGTCTCTGGGAAGGGGCTGTGACCAGGAGTGGGAACTCAGGGAGCTTGACTAGGGGAGGGGCCTGGGCATGGGCTAGCTCTGCCCGCAAGCAGTGGGGCTGCGCGTCCAGCAGAGCAGGGCAGCTGAGCTGGCTTCCGCAGGGCGTGGGCAGCCTGAGCACCCCACCCCAGGGCTCCGAGAGCACAGACCCGGGGGGGTGTTCTCTTCATTGTGGGTGGATGTTTGCTGAGGCTGAGCAGGGTCCCTGCTCACCTGCCCCCCATTAAGGCCCGGCACCTCGCCTGTGGGCACATCCCAGACCTCCCGGCCCCGCCCCGCGGCTACATCTCCCACTCACACAAGCTCGTGCACCCCCCGCAGACGCTCTGCCCGCGCTGATCACCTGTGCACATTCCCTGAGATGTGTGGGAGGCTGGCGCCCACAGGGCCTCTGCGGGGTGCTGGGTGTTGAGGGGGCTCCAGGCAAATGTGGCTACCTTGGGTGAGGAACATGTGCTTCTAGGGTTTGGGGGTCCCTGAGCAGTCCCCCAAGGATGTGCAACGCCTCAACACAGCGCACACGCCTGCACACATCCACACCCACGCCTGCCCAGCCCTGCAGACTCCCCCCCCCACACCCCACTGCCTACTGCACCTGCCGAGGGCACCCACTCTTCCTTCAGTGACTGACAAGGCGTGACAGTGCGTGACGCTGGCTGTGGGCGCCCGCCGGGAGGGTGCGAGCAGTGGGCAGCGGCTCACAGCCCAGGCTCTGCAACCCCGTGGGGGGACTTCTGTATTTTGCTTTTGTTTTTAATATTAATTGATTTGGAAGAAAGAGAGGGAGGAGGAGACAGAGTGGGGGAGCCCCTGTCCTTCAGGTGACCTCACTCTGACCTCACTGCCCAGTTGGTCATAATGACCAGAGCTGGGCCAGGCTGAAGCCAGGAGCCAAGAACTCCATCTGGGTCTCCCACGTGGGTGCAGGGGTGCAAGCATTTGGGCCACCCTCCACTGCTTTCCCAGGCACATTACCAAGGAGCTGGATCGGAAGTAGAACAGTTAGTGATTGAAGTGGTGCCGTGGTGGGATGCCGGCACTGCAGGCAGCAGCTTTGCCCGCTGTACCAGCCCCCTGCTGACCGCCATGGGGGCCTCCCATCCTGACCTCTGCAAGGCGAGGCCCAGGCCTCGAGCAGTTGGCATACGTCCCCGTGTGTTGTGCGTGCTCCCATCCCTCTGTCGCAGGTGCTCCCGCAGGCTGAGAGCGAGGAGCCCACCTGTGCCATTGCCACCTGCGCCCGCTGTGGTGTGACCGAGACCCTGCCACGATGAGGACATCTGTGACCTGTTCTCTCTCCCCCCAGGTTGTGGGGGCTGCGGGGTGGAGATCAAAAACGGCCAGGCCCTGGTGGCCTTGGACAAACACTGGCATCTGGGCTGTTTCAAATGCAAGACCTGCGGGAAGCTCCTGACGGCTGAATACATCAGCAAGTAAGTGTGGCCAGGGCTCCAGCCCAGCGTCGGCCCGCGCTGCTCGGGGCTGTGGGACCGAACAGCATCGCTGGGCGCCCCGTGTGCCACCTCCCGCTAGGAAGGTGCCTCAGCCTCGCCCGGGCAGGCTGTCTCAGGCAGGCCTGGCCTGAACTGCAGCTTCCACTGAGCTGATGCAGACGTGTCAGGGCTCCTACTGTGACTCGTGCACTGCCGCCCGCTTTGTCCTTGGTGTCCCCTGCCACCTTCCCACCGCCCGCCCTGTCCTGGGTGTCCCCTGCCACCTTCCTGCCAGCCACCCACTCTCCCTGGGTGTCCCATGCCACAATCCTGGTGCCTGGATGTCCTTCAGAGAGAGGGAATAATATGGCTGCCAGGGTATGATCAGGCGGCACCCACGGGTGCTCACCCCAGTGGCAGCCCCTGCTGGCTCGTGATACTCCTCTCAGACCCACGGCCTGGGGTGTGGTGTGGCTGGTGTCAGGGATGAGGGGGTATGAGCAGATCAGTGGGTGCCTAAAGCCTGGGGTGATGTGGGGGTGCGGTGCCCATCAAGAGACAGGAAGATGTGACCTCAAAAGCTCAGGAAGAGGCAGGGCCAGCACTGGGAAAACAATTGCACACCTCACAGATGCAGGGACACACATACACACCTCACAGATGCAGGGACACACACACACACACACCTCACAGATGCAGGGACACACACACACACACACCTCACAGATGCAGCACACACATATACACCTCACAGATGCAGGGACACACACACACACACCTCACAGATGCAGCACACACATACACACCTCACAGATGCAGGGACACACACACACACACCTCACAGATGCAGGGACACACACACACACACCTCACAGATGCAGGGACACACACACACACACACCTCACAGATGCAGCACACACATACACACCTCACAGATGCAGGGACACACACACACACACCTCACAGATGCAGGGACACACACACACACACCTCACAGATGCAGGGACACACACACACACACCTCACAGATGCAGCACACACATACACACCTCACAGATGCAGGGACAAACACACACACACCTCACAGATGCAGCACACACATACACACCTCACAGATGCAGGGACACACACACACACACCTCACAGATGCAGGGACACACACACACCTCACAGATGCAGGGACACACACACACACACCTCACAGATGCAGGGACACACACACACACACACCTCACAGATGCAGGGACACACACACACACCTCACAGATGCAGGGACACACACACACACACCTCACAGATGCAGGGACACACACACACACACCTCACAGATGGAGCACACACATACACACCTCACAGATGCAGGGACACACACACACACACCTCACAGATGCAGCACACACATACACACCTCACAGATGCAGGGACACACACACACACACCTCACAGATGCAGGGACACACACACACCTCACAGATGCAGGGACACACATACACACACCTCACAGATGCAGGGACACACACACACACACCTCACAGATGCAGGGACACACACATACACCTCACAGATGCAGGGACACACACACACACCTCACAGATGCAGCACACACACATACACACCTCACAGATGCAGGGACACACACACACACCTCACAGATGCAGGGACACACACACATACACCTCACAGATGCAGGGACACACACACACCTCACAGATGCAGCACACACATACACACACCTCACAGATGCAGGGACACACACATACACACCTCACAGATGCAGCACACACACACACACCTCACAGATGCAGGGACACACACACACACACCTCACAGATGCAGGGACACACACATACACACCTCACAGATGCAGGGACACACACACACACACACCTCACAGATGCAGCACACACACACACCTCACAGATGCAGGGACACACACACACACACCTCACAGATGCAGCACACACACACACACCTCACAGATGCAGGGACACACACACACACACCTCACAGATGCAGCACACACATACACACCTCACAGATGCAGGGACACACACACACACCTCACAGATGCAGGGACACACACACACACACCTCACAGATGCAGGGACACACACACACACCTCACAGATGCAGCACACACATACACACACCTCACAGATGCAGGGACACACACACATACACACCTCACAGATGCAGGGACACACACACACACACACCTCACAGATGCAGGGACACACACACACACACCTCACAGATGCAGGGACGCGCACACACACACCTCACAGATGCAGGGACACACACACACACACCTCACAGATGCAGGGACACACACACATACACCTCACAGATGCAGGGACACACACATACACACCTCACAGATGCAGGGACACACACATACACACCTCACAGATGCAGGGACACACACATACACACCTCACAGATGCAGGGACACACACACACACCTCACAGATGCAGGGACACACACACACACACCTCACAGATGCAGGGACACACATACACACCTCACAGATGCAGGGACACACACACACACCTCACAGATGCAGGGACACACACATACACACCTCACTGGCACAGCACACATTTGCACTCACACAGAATCTGGCCTTGTTCCTGGGTTCACCTCTACTTTCTGCATGCCAGTTGTATATCCTGTCCCAGGGCAGTCCTGGTTCAGGGCGTGTGGGGTCTCTGCTGTTTGTTACAACTGCAGGTGCCTCCGTAGCCATCTCAGAGTGACACTTTGGAGACAGAGGTCGCCAGACCAAGATGAGCCCCCTTCCTCAGGGAATGGGCCTGTGGAGGAAGCCTGGGCCCCCGCCTCATTACAGCAGAGCCAGCCACAGAGGCAGCGGGACAAACCCAGCCTGTGCACTGAGCAGTTTCTGAAAAATGCAAGGTCCCCTTCCCCTGGGAGGCTGCCTCCCCCCCACCCCGCCACACCACACATCTGTTACTAAGCAGCCAGACCAGGGAGGAGGGTGTGTCTGCGTTGCCATGGAGAAAGTGCCTTGATATGCTGGGTTTGTGGGGGATGGCGGGGGCCCTGATTTCCCAGCGTGTGAGAGAGGACTGCCATGGGGTGTTGACCACCTGAGCTTTGTCGTGGGTTAAGGGTATAGCCAGAGGTGGGCACAGTCCAGGGTTGCTGATGCTACCAGGGACTTAGGGGAACCCAGCAGAGGTGCAGAGAAAGGAGCATCGCCATGCTGGTCCTGCCCTGCCCTGCTAGCTGCACAGGTGCCCTGCTGCCCAGCCACACCCAGAACAAAGCCAGGCTGGAGCCCCAGCAACTCCTATGACGCTGGGGAAGGGTGTGCTGAGCCCAGCAGCCCCCGCGCACTCCTGCTGGGGAACAGAGAGCCCCAGGGCCCTGATGGCTACTAGCAGCTGGGCCACCAGGGGCACGTGCTGGCCTAGCCGGGCACTGCCCCACCACTCCTGTCTGCTCCTTCTGCCTCACTGAGAGCGAATGTGAGCCACAGAGACTGAGCAGTGTGACTGGGGTCACACAGTTGGGCAGTGGCCCAGGAAGCCCAACCCCATGCTGCGTTGGTGCCAGCAGCAATGACAACACAAGACACAATGCTCCGGGCATTGAACCCCCTGTGTCCTGCCAACCCCCGACAGGCTGCTTCCCCTGAGTGCTGGCACCGTGTCCAAGCAGCTGGCCAGGGAGCCATGCCTGGGGCCGCCCTGCACAGCACAGGCCCTTCCATGTCCAGTGGCCAGAAGCTCCTGGGCCATCCAAGGCACCCCAAAGAGGGCATCCCCAGTACAACAGGAGGGACAGGCCTCCCCCAGCACCAGGGCTGCTGGGTCCCTGCCGCACGCGCTCCGCCCCAGGGGTGGTCCCGCCTCCATACCTGTCTTCCCATCTGGGAGTGGGCTGGGCAGGCAGTGCTGCTCGTGGGCTGGCTGTGGTGGGAGGCCCTCACACAGATGAGGCTGTAGGATCTTGGGCCGGCCTTGGGGTGAGCCACTGGTCCTGACCAGCCGCCTCGTTGCAGGGACGGGCTGCCCTACTGCGAAGCTGACTACCATGGCGAGTTCGGCATCCGCTGCGACGGCTGCGAGAAGTACATCACAGGCCGTGTGCTGGAGGTGAGGTGCCTCCTGGGCTGGAACCAGCACACTGGGTCCAGCTGCCGCCCAGGAGTTTGCCATGGGGCCAGGCCTTGGTGACTGTGCAAGGGTCTGCAGTGCCCAGGCTGCCACAGCATGCCTTTGTGGTCTGTCCAGAGCCTGCTCTGTGCTGCCTCCTCCAGGAAACCTTCCTGGGATGCCACTTCTGTGCAGAGTTGAAAGGCAGGAGGGACTTGGGATCTGCTCAACCCAGCCACTTGCTGCCAGGCACCAGACTCAGGCATTTGGCATGAGAGGGTCCTGGTGATAATGAAGGTGCTGCTTCTCAAGGCTGGCAGCAGTGATCACCCCCCCCAGCTCACCTGCCAGCCGCCCCCCCCCCCCGTGACTGTGCTCTGTGCTGGGGCAGGCCAAAGGGATCTCCAGGCCAGTGAGGGGCCTGGGGGGAGCTGTGCCTGGGTGCCCTTCTCCAGGGGTTTGGGGGTGGCACAGAGGAGCAGTCCCTGGGCCTCTGCCAGGGTGGGGTGGGGCAGAGAGCAGTTTGCTGGCAATGGGCATGAAGCAGGGGCTGCAGGGGCCCCATCAGCGTTTTACAGAGACCTGGTCAGGTGCGAGGAGGCTCCCCTGTGCCAGCTCCCCCAGCTGGGACCCTCCCCTGGGTCAGGGTCCAGCTGCATGGGCCTCAGCCCTGCCCCCTGGGCACTCTCCTGCCCAGACCTCAGGGCTGCCCCAACTGCCTCCCAGATGGGCTCCTCTTCCCCACCAGAGGCTCCAGGGGGCTGGTGTGGGAGTGGCCCCCATCAAGGTCTCCTGTGTGACCTGGGGGAAGGGTACCCGGCCCCAGTGGCCTGCATGGGGGCAGAGCTTCCTGCCAGGCTCTGCCCACCACTCCCAGCATGTGTTGTCCGTCTCCTGACAAGTCCTAATCTCATTTGGCAGCCAGCAGTCCCACACAGGCATTCTGTTTTGATATTGTGGGTGTATTTTTAAATGTTTGTTTATTTGAACAGCGAAGTGACCCAGAGAGAGAGAGAGAGAGGGGCCTTTCATTCTTAGTTCATTTCCCAAATGGTTGAAGCAGCCAGGGCCGGGACGGCAGCCAGGGGCTCCATGTGGCCTCCTGTGGGTGCAGGCCCAAGCACTGGGGCCATCCTCCGCTGCTTCCCCATGCGCAACAGCAGGGAGCTGGAGCAGAAGTGGGGCAGCCAGGACTCAAACCAGTGCCCCTTTGGGGTGGTGGTGCTGCAGGTGGCAGCTTTACACGCTGTGCCTCAGCCGGCCCCTCTCACTGAGAGCTCCGCTGAGATCCAGCTCACGCCCACATGACTCCTCCACGGTGCCGAGGCAATGGCTCCTGGTTGGTGCATTCTTCCCCACCACCAAGAATGCCCCTGCTGATCCCTGCGCCCCCACCGGGCTCCTCGCAGCCATGCTGCCCACGCAGGAACGGACAGGTAGGGGCCTTCATGGGGCTCCCCTGCAGCCGACCCGAGGGTGCAGCGTGTTCAGGGTGCGCTGGGAGCTGTTGCCTCCTTGGCAGCCACTAGGAGGAAGAACGCTTCCTCATCAGCCTTAGACAGGAACCCCGGACTGCAGCTGTTACCATCTTGCACTGCTCATCCTCTCTCCTCCAAGCGTGAGCAGAACCTGACACAGAGTGCCCAGCATAGGTGGGCTAGATCCCATGCCTAGGCAGCAAGGTTCCAAGACCAAGCAGACATGGCCAGGCCCCCGTCCTCCAGTGCCCACTGCACTGGGCTGCCTGGCCAGGCCCTGTCCTCCAGTGCCCACTGCGCTGGGCTGCAGTGCTCACCAAGGCTCCCACCCCTCCCCTGCATCCCTGGGGGCCTGTCTGTGTTCTTGGATCCTGACAGATGTGAGAGCTGAGCCTGCCCTGCCCCAGAGCAGCTCTGGCCTGGTCTGGGGAAGGGTCCAACCAGACCCAGCCCTTGCAGCAAGAATGCCCCTGCTGATCCCTGCGCCCCCACCGGGCTCCTCGCAGCCATGCTGCCCACGCAGGAACGGACAGGTAGGGGCCTTTGTGGGGCTCCCCTGCAGCCGACCCGAGGGTGCAGCGTGTTCAGGGTGCACTGGGAGCTGTTGCCTCCTTGGCAGCCACTAGGAGGAAGAACGCTTTTGTTTTCGCCTCTGCGGGGAGGCGAGGTGCGGTGGCGGGCGGGGACATGCGGGGAGCTGCCTCCGTGCAGGCAGCAGGCACTGCCTGAGACGGCCCAGCTCGCAGCTCCTGGGCGAGCTGTGCTGGCGGTGGCAGGTGACAAGAGGGCCTAGATGCTGGCTGCAGGGTCTTGACCTTGCTGCCCCAGGCAGCAGGCGCCCTGCTGGGACTGGAGGCTGCAGTTTGAAAACCAGGTGAGAGCACCCCACGGAGGGGCTAGCACGTTCTTAGGGCCCCACTGAACGTGCAGCAGGCACCCTGGGGCAGCTGAACCAGGTCAGTGGGCAGGCCAGCTTCCTGCCATCTGGGATGGAAGTGCCAGGAAATGTGGGCTGGCTGGTGGGGGGGGGGGACCTGTGCTCATCCCCCGTCACTCCTTCTGCCTGTGAGCCGGCTCCAGGCTGGGGTCCTGCGGCATGCAGGGAGAGGCGGAGAAGGGCAGGGGAGGGGTGGGCATGGCGCAGCAGGAGCAGCTCCCGCAGGGTTCTGGTGTCACAGGATGTGTGTGCTGGGTCCTGCATAGGGAGTCGGTGTTACAGGCATCTCTGGCTCCTGTGTGGGAGTCACTGTGTCCCCAGAGCCCTGCCCCCACTTTCTTCCTGGTTCCCTGGGGCCCCTTGCAGGGGTGGGAGTAGGGGTGGGGTACTTCTTGCCCTTCCCACTGTGAATCTTGTGGGGGGGGGCGCTGCCAGGTGCAGCAGGTCCGCCAGTGCTGTCTCCATGGTAACAGGAAGGACTGCATCCCTCTGGGACCACTCTTTCCTTCTCTGGTTATGTTTTTTCGCTGCCCTCCCTCCGTCCGTCAGTCTCCGTGCTCATCCTGTCCCTCACCTCAGAAGCCCTCTCTTGGCTTGCTGTGTGTCCACCCTGGGCTGGCTGCGTGCCCAGGTCTGGAGGCGACCAGGCCCCTCCATGGAGACTGCACTTAGGGAACCTGCTGTCGGCTGCTGGCTCCCAAGCTGTCCCCTTCTCCCATGAGATGTCCCCTCTCCTGAGCCTTTGAGCCAGGGTGCCCAGCAACTGGGCAGTGTGCAAATCAAGTTCCAAAACCAGCACCTCCTGAGTGGGTAAGGGGGTGGCAGTTTCCCGAGACCCCCATGCCCCAGGTGCCATGAGTAAACATAGAGCGAGCCAGCACCGGGCACCAGGACGCACCAGCTGTTAGGAGTCATGGGTATGTGTGTCCTCCAAAGACTCACCGTGCTCGCACACACAGGGACACACAGACACATCCACACACACACAGGGACACACATCCACACACACATGGACACACAGACACACACACAGGGACACACACATACATACACAAACACACACACAGGGACACACACACACATCCACACAGACACATCCACACACACAGGGACACACAGACACACACACACATCCACACACACATGGACACACAGACACACACACACATCCACACACACATGGACACACAGACACACACACAGGGACACACACATACACACACAAACACACACACAGGGACACACACATATCCACACAGACACATCCACACACACAGGGACACACAGACACATACACATCCACACACACACAGGGACACACAGACACATACACACAGGGACACACACAGGGACACACAGACACATCCACACACATCCACACACACACACAGGGACACACAGACACACACACAGACATACATACCCATCTGTAAGTGTGTGCACATAGACACCACAGATGTAGACACGCAGGCTTGTGCACACACAGCTGTGGCTGTACCCACCTGCTATGACTAAGCCTGTTTTTCCTGCTTCGTGGCCCGAGCTCAGGGCCAGGCAGAGACCGACTAGACAGGGCTAGGCTGGGGACTGGTGAGCAGCTCAGGAGTGGGGCCTCGGCACAGTCCATGGCTCAGCCATCGTGCCAAGGGAATAGACCCGTCTCTGCGGCTCCTGGGGGATCCCATGTTGGTTCCAGCCATGTGGCGCCTGTCGCAGGCCCAAGTTTAGTCCCTGGGGAGGCCATCTCCTCTGTGCTCTGGACCACTGAGGTTGTTCGAGATCTGGGGTCAGTTCTGAAAATTCAGAAATGAAACTGGTGCTTTGCCCTGGGCTGGGCACCCTGCAGAGCCCAGAGGGCACAGGAGGCACAGGAAGCTGCTTCACTGGGGGTCTGCTGCAGCGACCAAGGCTGGAACAAGACATGTCCAGGGGCCAGGAGCTCCATCCTGGTCTCCCATGTGGGCAGCGGGGGCCTAAGCACCTGGGCCACCACTACTGCCCCCAGTGGGCATGAGCAGGGAGCTGGGACCCAGCCCAGGAAGTCCAGCAAGGGAAATGCGCGTGGATGGGCATCGTAGCCGCTGAGTTGGACACCTGCCCTTAAAGCACTTTGTCCATCACAGCTGTCTCAGTGCCACATGGGCAGGAGTTGGGCCATCCCCCACGTGGGCAGCGGGGCTGCAGGCTGCACATGTTCAGCCTGAAGCTTCCAGCAGCAAAGATGCCCAGTTAGGCCCTTCCTGGCTGGGGATTGGGTGGGAGAACCACAGTGGGGCAAGGGTGCGGCCAGCCTACCGATGATGGCGGGACCACCCAGCTCAGGGTGAAGGGGGACAGGGGGACCAGGCGGTGCTGACAAGAGTGGTCTGACCCCATGCCCTCAGCCCCAGCCCCACTCTTGCCCTGCCACCTCAGAGGAGTGGGCTGACCCAGAAGCTGCTCCCCACACAGAACCTCTGGGTGATGCCTCAGCTGGGGCCCTCTGGCAAAGTCAGGAGGCAAGGGCCACGGGCTGGTACCTGGCACCTCCGTGACCTTGGCTGTGAGCTGCGAGAGGTCCAGACACCAAAGGACACATTTCTGTAGTCAGAGACATGGCCCTGTGACATCACCACAGGACACACCCTCCACCTGTGACATCACCATAGGATACACCCTCCACCTGTGACATCACCACAGGACACACCCTCCACCTGTGACATCACTACAGGATATACCCTCCACCTGTGACATCACCATAGGATACACCCTCCACCTGTGACATTACCAGGACACGCCCTCCACCTGTGATGTCACCATAGGACACACCCTCCACCTGTGACATCACCACAGGATATACCCTCCACCTATGACATCACCACAGGACACACCCTCCACCTGTGACATCACCATAGGCTACACACTCCACCTGTGACATCACAACAGGATATACCCTCCACCTGTGACATCACCATAGGATACACCCTCCACCTGTGACATTACCAGGACACGCCCTCCACCTGTGATGTCACCATAGGACACACCCTCCACCTGTGACATCACCACAGGATATACCCTCCACCTATGACATCACCACAGGACACACCCTCCACCTGTGACATCACCATAGGATACACACTCCACCTGTGACATCACAACAGGATATACCCTCCACCTGTGACATCACCATAGGATACACCCTCCACCTGTGACATTACCAGGACACGTCCTCCACCTGTGTTGTCACCCAGGACACGCCCTTCACCCGTGACATCACCACAGGACATGCCCTCCACCTGTGATGTCACCTGTTTGACATCCCTCCAGGTCACACGGACACTGTGTGTCTTGCTGTTGCCTTCCACACCTTCATGGGGAGGTGGCGATGCTGGCCCACACTTGACCCTGCCTCCAGCTGTGTGGCCCTTTGATCCCGGTGCCCGTCTCTGCATCCAGTGCCTATGGGGCTGTGTGGCCCTCCTCCGCCCCCATTCCTGCCTAGTCACCTTGGTGAGCTGAGTGCACAGTGAGCCCAGGCGCTCAGCCACAGTGGTCCTCATGGGGAAACCGAGGGATGAGGCCTCTCCCAGGAGGAAGCGTCCTGTCCAGGATGGGGACTCAGCCCAGTTGGTGGGAGTCCTGGCTCCCCCTGCCTGCTGGCCTCCTGTGGGGTGGGCACAGAGGCAGGGTGCCCTTGGGTCACACGCAGGGCGCTGGCCACAGTGCTGGACCGTGGAGTCGGAAGTGCCCGCTGTTGCTCTGCACTGTTCAGTGATGGATGCTGGACCCAGGAGCTGCACTGTGTTCACATGATCAGTTCTCTCCTCTTCCACCTCGCTCATCCTCCCCACACACACCACGCCCAGCGCTGTCTCCCCAGACCCTCCTCCCCGTCCTGGCAGCCCCTCAGCTGCCGCCTATCTGTGATATGCCTGTTCCTGTGAAACAGGGCCTCCTGTGTCTGCTCATCCTCCTAGTGGCCGTGGGGGTAGTGGCTGTGGGCTGTTCTGCAGCCTGTGAGCGCCGACCAGCTGGTGTCCCATGGTGGCACTTTATTCCCCACCAACAGGCAGGCTCGGGACGTCCCGGCTGCCCTGTGGGTGTGCCACAGTGCCCCTGTCGACGCCCATGTGCCACTAGAGTCACTATGTCTCTTTGGAGAAGCGGGACTGCACAGGCCATTCTGTGCCCGTGCCAGGGCTGTGTGCCCTGGTTCTGTGCCCATGCCAGGGCTGTGTGCCCTGCTCCCTGCCTGGCCCGGGGCATGCAGCCCTCTGAGCCTGTCTGCTCCTTGATGGGGTTGAGTTCCATGCTACGTGCATCCTCCTTGCTTGGTTGTACTCTTGGTGCCCAGCTTGGGCACCGCCTGCCAGGCCCCACAGCATTTGCTCTCTTCTCTTCCTGCTGTGCTGTGGCCCAGTGCACCCTGGCTCAGTGCTGGGACCAGCCCGTGCCCAGCAGCGACAGCCACTCGCACGTCTGTACTTTCTGCAGGCAGGAGAGAAGCACTACCACCCTGCGTGTGCGCTATGTGTCAGGTGCGGCCAGATGTTCGCGGAGGGCGAGGAGATGTATCTGCAAGGTAAGCTTGGGAAGGGCTCTGGTGCCTCCCATCGGCCAGGGGTCCCTGCCTGTCCCGGAGCGGCACTGTCACACCCGGCTGTCTTTGCCAGCCTGCCCTGGGTGTGAGCCCGAGGGAAGACCACAGCACAGATAGAGCTGGAGGGGAGCTTGGAGCCCAGGGAGCCGGCCCCAGCTGCAGTCGGGCGTCTCCTGCCCCTGCTGTCGGCCTGCTGCACCCCAGCAGCAGCGAGCTTTCTCCCAGAGCCAAGGAAGAACTGAATGTGGGCAGGGTGCTGGCTGAAAGAATGTTCTAGAAGAAACCAGCCACTGTCCAGCATGGGTCATGCTGCTTCCAGAAAAATCCCTTCTCCCATTTCCCCAGTGCACGGTGCTCTGTTGGGGACAGGCCCCTGGGACAACTGGCAGATGGCTGAGGCTGGTCCATGGGCTGCCCGGTGACTTCCCGTGCTAGCTTCTGCGTTGTGTGCCGGACAGCCCTCCCTTTCTGAGGCTGAGCCTGCTGGGTGAGGTCAGCACAGCCTCGTCTCCATTGTCCCCTGCTGTGTCCTGCAGGAGCCTGGCCCTCGTGAATGGCACCCTCAGGCCAGGGGCTCCGAGGGACACCCAGCACCAGGGTGCAGATGGCAGCTGGGGGGACACACGCTTGCGTCAGATATGACTGAGTCAGGGGACAAAGACGCCCTTTGAGATGCTGGCCTGGGGCCAGCTCCTGTCACTGGAGGGGAACCTCGGGGCCATGTGTGGGTGTCGAAGCCAGGCCTGTCCCCCTACAGGACACAAGGTTCCCAGCCCAAGAACAGGGCATGTGCTGGGAGCTCTGCCTCCCCTCCCCCACATGTACCCATCCTGGGGGCCAGGGCTCCAACAGGCAGACCCAACTGTGGGTGCAGGAGCCCAAGCACTCGGGTCATTCCCGGTGATGTAGTAGGGAGCTGTTGGGACACAAACAGGTGTTCCTGTGGGCAGTCAGCATCAGAGGTGGCTAAGCCGCTACACCTCAACGCTGGCTCTTAAATTTGTCATTTTTGAAAACAAAATCCTGTTATGTTTATATTAAAAAAACATTACAACTAAGTGTTTTATAAACCCTCCCCCCCCCCATGTTATGGATTAAACGGGGTTTGGATTCCCCAGACTCAGGGACATTTAAGTCCTGGAGGTTAAGGTCAGCGGATTCATGCTAATGGATGATGGATTAGGGTGCTGATTTGATCTGCTTAGGACGGCAGCCCTGCATCTGCCAGGAGGCCTGTGGTCCCTGGGGGCGTGCCGCTGGAGGGATGCTGTGTCTGCTCCCCAGGAGCCCCCCGCTCTCGCCTGCTCCACCACAGCCTCTGCTGGGGAGGGCCCCTCGGGAGCCTAGAGACCCAGGGAGCTCCTGGCCTGCTCGGACCCAGTGTCCACTGAAGGGGCTCCTTGCCTGCCTGCTGACCCAGAGCCCTGTCCCTGGGGTTCACAGCTTCAGCCCCTGTCCTCCACACAGTATGAACCCCTGTGGTCCACACGCAGGCAGCCAAGCGCCCTGGGGTGGGAACGGCCAGGAACTTCTTTGCTCTTGCTGCCTCTGCACTTGAGGCTGCTTCAGCACCCTTGCCTGCAAAGGCTGCTCCAGGCCAGCAAAGGGGCTCCCCCAGCCCCATTGCTCAGCGCCCTGAGATGCCAGTTGTGGGCATGGCCAGCATACAGCAGAGGCTCTTCCCTGTGCCCCAAGCCTGCCTCACCGCTGAGCTCCACATATAGCCCCGACCCCAGCACAGACAGGCATCCCCCACAGTGGGGTGCAGAAGTGACCATCGGTACCATCTGGGCTCTGACTCTCCCCACAGGCCCACATTGCGCTATGAGGGCCACACTAACCGCTTCCCTCTGCTGTAGGTTCCTCCATCTGGCATCCGGCGTGCCGACAGGCAGCCAGGACTGAGGACAAGAACAAGGTGGGTGCTCTTCACGCCTCTTCACCTGTCTGACAGGGCAGGCAGTGGGTGCAGCTGCTAGGTCTCCAGGGCCTTTCCTGAGCTATGGTCAGTGGCTAAGGAGGTGACCAGGTGTGAACAGGTGAGCCATGATGCCAGGTTAGAACAGGGGGCATCAGGGCACAGAGACTGTGACTGCCGGTTTCTTTAACTATTACACAGCTGCAAGAATTGGGGAACAGACGCAAACATAGAAGAATCCAATAAAACAATAATGTCACCCTCACTGCTGACCCCGTGCACGCCCATGGTCACCCTCACCGCTGACCCATACACACCCATGGTCACCCTCACCATTGACCCCGTGCACACCCATGTCACCCTCACTGCCGACCCCATGCACGCCCATGTCACCCTCACTGCTGACCCCGTGCACGCCCATGTCACCCTCACTGCTGACCCCGTGCACGCCCATGTCACCCTCACCGCTGACCCCATGCATGCCCATGTCACCCTCACCACTGACCCATACACACCCATGTCACCCTCACCACTGACCCCATGCATGCCCATGTCACCCTCACCGCTGACCCCATGCACGCCCACGGTCACCCTCACCGCTGACCCCGTGCACGCCCATGTCACCCTCACCACTGACCCCGTGCACGCCCATGTCACCCTCACCGCTGACCCCATGCACGCCCATGTCACCCTCACCGCTGACCCCGTGCACGCCCATGTCACCCTCACCGCTGACCCCGTGCACGCCCATGTCACCCTCACCGCTGACCCCGTGCACGCCCATGTCACCCTCGCCGCTGACCCATACACACCCATGGTCACCCTCATTGCTGACCCATACACACCTATGTCACCCTCACCGCTGACCCCATGCACGCCCATGTCACCCTTACCGTTGACCCCGTGCACGCCCTCGGTCACCCTCACCGCTGACCCCGTGCACGCCCATGTCACCCTTACCGTTGACCCCATGCACGCCCATGTCACCCTCACCGCTGACCCCATGCACGCCCATGTCACCCTCACCGCTGACCCCATGCACGCCCATGTCACCCTCACCGCTGACCCCGTGCACGCCCATGTCACCCTTACCGTTGACCCCGTGCACGCCCATGTCACCCTCACCGCTGACCCCGTGCCCAGTCACCTCACCACTGACCCCGTGCACGCCCATGTCACCCTCACCGCTGACCCCGTGCCCAGTCACCTCACCACTGACCCCATGCATATCCAAGGTTTTCATGGGGATCTCTTACACGGACACAGCTGGTTGGTTGATATCTGGCACCCGGGGATGCCATCAGGTCACCTGACATCCCGGGGCCCAGAGCTCTGTGGTCCGTGAGCAGCCAAGCATGGGCATGTGGCAGTGGCCTCCGTGTCCCTGCTGTGTCCATCTGCTCATGGCTCTTCGGCTGTCCTCTCCAGCTTGTGTGGGGTTCTGAGGACGCCTGGCACCCACAGGCCAGGGGGAGACAGCCCGGTGCTGGCGCGTGGCAGGTGGTGGCATGCTGGGTTCTGCCACTCAGCTGCTCCCTCTGCCGTCTCCACCTCCAGGAGACCAGAACCTCATCGGAAAGCATCATTTCTGTCCCAGCCTCCAGCACCTCGGGGTCTCCGAGCCGTGTGATTTATGTAAGTGGGTCTTCCTGTGGGGGAGTGGGTGGCGGACTCATGGACGTCACAGGGGGTGGTGCCACGCTCTGGCCATGGCCTCGGCAGAGGGCAGTGCTGGCCGTCTAGGAGAGTTTGGGACTTGTGCCGATGTGAGCAGATTTCTTAGTCCTGGCCGTCCTGTTCCCAGTCACAGGTCAGCATGGGCTCTGTGCCCACGTGGGTCCCACCTGTGGCTGCCAGGTGGAGCTTCCCGTGTCTGTGTGGTTCTGGGTGTGGAGCGCGTGGGCAGGAACTGCTCCGAGAAGTATGTGAGGGCGACAGGCGCCTCGTGATCCCGATTTCGTTAAAGGGTGTGAGTGTGTGTGTGCCCACACAGGCATGTGCAAAGTGTCAGCGCTTTAACAAGGCATTCAGGAGGCCGCCTGGAAGGTAGGCTTGGCAGTGGAAGATTGTTCTTGCGTGAAGTGCCAAACTCATTGTCTGGGAAACGGCCCCGAGGCGTGCAGAAGCACAGGAGCCTGTGTCTGGGCAGCTTGGCCCTGCCCCACCCCGGAGTGACAGATGTGGCCTGTGCCCCGCCCCCCCACGTGGCTCTGCATGCCCACGCTACCTGTGTTTGCAGGTGGTAAGATGCCCAAATCGGCCCCCAAGACTTTGGGGACCCTGGTCCCCTGACTCTGAAGAGCCGCTCCCTGGCCCGTCCCCACCAGGAGAGCTCGACCAGGGCCTTCCAGAGAGGGGTCTCACGCCCCGCATGCACCTGCTCCCCCTTCTCAGCCTCGGGGTCTCCCAGGGACCCCAACACCCTGTGCCCACTGCATTGAGGCCACTTAGGGACATGTGGACATGGACATGGAGCCACGGCCTGAGGCCACGTACGTCCTCTCAGGGCCACAGCGTCCCCAGGCCAGGACAGAGGGAGACAGAGACCTGCACTCTGTCCCTCCCTACGTGCCGGAGGCCTCGGGCTGCGCAGGCTGAAGCTGGGCCAGGTCTCAGTCTGGGTCTCCTTGGGCTGTCAACTGCCACTGCCCAGGGCGCACGTCAGGAAGAGGGGCTGCCTCACTGTCTGTTGCCACTGACGGACGATGTTGGCACCATGGCGTCACAGGAGGCTGGCAAGAGCACAGAGAATGGGAGCAACTCCATACCAGGGGCCTTCCGCCAATTACACAGGGTGGCCTGTTGTCATGACAACCACCCGAGGCCACGGCACAGGAAAGAAGGCATCCACAAGGTCACTTAGCCAACTGGACGGGGATGCCAGCGTCGTCCAGATCCTTGCTGTCTTAATGAGGCTGGCCAGGGTACAGGGGGACCATGGGAGCTGCCTAGCTGCCCCTGGGACTGAACTAAGAAAGCCAGGCGAGCCAGCAGGTGGGCGGGCACTTGTGAAGTGCAGATGTCTCTGGCACCAGAAGGGCCTTTGCCTCTGGTGGACAGGATGCAGGGTGCTGTTGCCTAGGAGCGGACACAGGCCAGAGGCTGCTGGGAGGTGTGGGTTTGGGACAGTGGGATGCAGCTGGAACTTAGGGGATGTTGTCCCCACAGCAGGGCCTGGAAAGGGGAGCCTTCTGGTGGGGATCAGGGCCCTGGAGTCAGGAGCCCCAGGCCGGCAGCATGTGCCTCCCTGGGCATGTTGTCCAGTCTCTCTGGGCCCTCCCTCTGCCATCAGGAGCCTCCCTTCTCTCTCTCGCTGCCTTTCAGATGAATAAGTCTTAAAAAGCCATAATGTGAACACTCAGAAGTGCTGTGCAAGCACGTGAACAAGCGTGTACACTGGCTGTGTGTGCACACGGATGCTTGAGGGCACACACGGGAGGCAGGCACGCGCAGGGTGTGTGTGTGCAAGTGTGTACATTGGCAGTGTGTGGTGCGTACCTGAGTCTGTGTGTGTCCAGGTGTGTGCTCACAGGCAGGAGAGTGTGACACGGGTGAGGGGTTGTCCCTCCAGCTGCCCAAGGCCACCATGGCCCTTGGTGTCCAGGCCCAGGGTGCAGCCGTACTGGGGGCTGCTGAGGTCTGCTCCGGGGCCTCACTGTGGGGTCTGTGCCCATGGGGACGTGGCTCTCAGCATCCTGCCGTGCCTCGCCTCTGTCTCCTCTCACAGGCAAAGCTTGGCGATGAGATCCTGGACTACAGGGACTTGGCCGCACTCCCCAAAAACAAAGCCATCTACAACATCGACCGTCCCGACCTCATCTCCTACTCACCTTACATCAGCCACTCCTCGGCAGACAGGCAGAGCTACGGCGAGGTACGGCCCGCCCCGTCCCCGGTGCCAGCCCTCGGGGCCATCCCCATGGAGGTACCCCATGGGCGCCACCCTCAGCTTCCGTTCGCCCCTCACGTGCACGGTCCCCCCAAAGCAGCAAGCCCCAGCGTACAGGTGCTCAGGGGCCCACAGTACTCCTGTGCAGGGCCCTCCTCCTGGGCGGCCACTGCAAGCACCGTCAGGAAGCTCAGCGTGGCCCTGCTGAGGTCCTGACTGCTGCCCAGGCGATGGCCGCCGGGCATGCCTGCAGGAAGGGAGGACCAGCTAGGGAGGGGCCCAGTGCCCAGGAGTGGCCCCTTGACTTGCTTCTGCCCTGGCTGGACCATCAGGGAGAGGCTGGGCTGAGGGCGTCCAGGGTGGGACTGCACCAGCCAGCATGTGGCCCAAGTCCTGCCAGTCCACCCTCTGCCTGAGCGAGGGGCCTGTGTGCCCCTGGGAGCCTGGAGAAGGGCGTGGCAGCTGTGAAGGCAGGTGGGTGCTGGGGCCGTGGAGTGCACAGCCCTGGCAGGCCTCAATTATCTGCTCTGAGCCGTCCTTCCACACTGCCGGGCTGCAGACTGAGCCCGTCTCAGCTCCTGGGCAGCAGCATGGCGTGGGCATCCCTCGTGCCCCATTCCAATGGGGACCACTCCCTGGAGCTAAAACCAGGGCCCCAGCATCCCGACTCTAGTCACGGCATGTCCTGCTGCCCAGGCAGCTGAGTGTCCCCTCACTTTTCAGAGGCCTCCATGGCTTCTCTCCCCGCCCCACAAGCCTCTGCTGGGGACCTACGCGACAGTGGGCACAGGGCGCTTTGCTTCAGGGGACCAGGCCACAGGCCCTAGCCTTGGGGCCAGATGGCACTGGGCACTCAGAAGCAGGGGTCTGACCCAGGGCAGACAGCTGTATGCACAGGGACCCAGCTACTCCCCCGCCTCAGCCTCCTGCTCTGTAAAATGGTAAGATGGGCTGACCACCTTCCATCTGGTCCTAGGAAAACTGTTGGGGCATGGAGACCCTGGCCTTCCTGCTTGGGATCAGGGAAGGAACTAGAAGAGGCACCTTCACATAAACAGTTGTCACAGTGGGAGAGCTGGGGCAGGCTTGGCAGGGCAGGGGGTGCAGCCAGACTTGCCCCATGGAGTTCCTCACTTCCCCTCAGCACTGTGGCCATCGGGGGTGGCAGGGCCAGGAAGCTGGCCAGCCAGGCACCCAGGCAGGGGCAGGACTCCCTGCTGTGGGAGAGGGCCACACCCACTGTAGGGGAGGGACCACAGGTTCACGACCACGCCCACTGTGGGAGGAGTCACAGTCTCAGAGCCCCGCTCACTCTGGGAGGATTCGCAGTCTCGGAGCCCCGCCCACTCTGGGGAGGAGTCGCGGTCTCAGAGCCCCCCAAGGCACCGCCCACTCTGGGGAGGAGTCACAGCCTCAGCCCCGCCTGCTCCCCGCCCTCCCTGAGAGGAGCGGTCCAGGTGCTGGTCCTCAGGCTGTGGGAGTCTCTGCAGCAGGGGGCGCTGTGAGGGCCGGCCCGGGGTGTCGGCCGCAGGTCCCAGGCCGGTGTCTGAGGGCCCATCCCGGGGTGTCGGCCGCGGGTCCCAGGCCGGTGTCTGAGGGCCATCCCGGGGTGTCGGCCGCGGGTCCCAGGCCGAGGGCCCATCCCGGGGTGTCGGCCGCGGGTCCCAGGCCGGTGTCTGAGGGCCATCCCGGGGTGTCGGCTGCGGGTCCCAGCCCCGTGTCTGAGGGCCCCATCCTGGGGTGTCGGCCGCGGGTCCCAGGCCGTGTCTGAGGGCCCATCCCGGGGTGTCAGCCGCAGGTCCCAGGCCGAGGGCCCATCCCGGGGTGTCGGCCGCGGGTCCCAGGCCCCTGTCTGAGGGCCATCCCGGGGTGTCGGCCGCGGGTCCCAGCCCCGTGTCTGAGGGCCCCATCCTGGGGTGTCGGCCACGGGTCCCAGGCCGTGTCTGAGGGCCCATCCCGGGGTGTCGGCCGTGGGTCCCAGGCCTCTGTCTGAGGATTCCCCGGGGTGTCGGCCGCGGGTCCCAGGCCGCGCACTCAAGGGACCCCTTCTTGTCTTGTGTTGTGCCCGCAGTCGCCTCAGCTGCTGTCGCCCACGCCGACTGAGGTAACGCCGGCCTGCGTCCTCCCAGAAGGAAGCCCATATGTGTCCCCTCCGGGCCTGCATGCTGTCCGCCGTGACCGCCCGCCCGCTGCCCTCTGCCTGGGCCGGCGACCCCCAGTGCGGCCGCCCCTGCCCCCGCCCCCGTGGCTCCTGGGGCCTGGCGCCTAGCCCTGGCAGGCAGCAGCCACAGGTCCTGCAGAGCTGCAGGGCCGGCCTGGGAGTAGAGCACCCAGGCAGGTGCCCAGGGTGAGCCCTGCGGGCTGGGGCGAGCCGGGCCATCTGAGCACCGCCACCTGCCCACTGCCCCCACGCACGGGTGCCCCGTCCTGCTTCGGGGCTTGCACCCTGTCCCCTCCCGCCCTGTGCTCCCAGGAGGGCAGGCAACTGGAGTTCTGGCTTGTTCTGCGTGTTGAGCACGTGCAGTGCATGGGGGAGGCAGACGGGGGCGAGGGGTGTGCGGTGCTCCCGTCCTGGGCGTTGACAAGCGTGTCTTCCCTGCAGGGGGACCAGGATGACAGGTCCTACAAGCAGGGCCGGCCCTCCAGCCCCAGCTCCACCGGCTCGGTCAGCCTGGGTCGCTGCACCCCAACCTCGCGCTCACCACAGCACTACAGTGGTCCAGGTACTCACCCCTGCCCCCCGCACCCTCCTCCCCCTGCAGAAGCTGCCCTTTTGGGGGGTGACCTGTGTCCTAGGAACACGGCCTTGCCAGCAGTGCATCGGGGAAAACCCATCAGCTTGGTGACATCAAGACTGGGTCTTCCTCGTGCCAGGGGCAGCTGGCTGGCCCGCCGGGTAAAGGGGCCTCTCGGTGGGGCACACACTTCTGAGCACTTAGTAGGTGCTTCAGTAGAGGGAGTGTCAGGAGGTGAGCTGGCCCCCACAAGCCCAGGTTGGGCTGGGCAGCTGAGGACAGGGTCAGGCCTCGCCCTGTCACCCATGGCCTGGAGGGACACTGGGCAGGAGGCCCCAGGCAGCGAGTAGCCCCACACAGGTCCACTGTGCCCTACTCATCTCTTCCTGATGTCCGGCCCTGTCCTGCCCCCGTCACCGTCATCCCTCCTCCGCCCCGTCTGCCTCGAAGCCACAGGGACACCACGCGGACGCTGTCCCATCCGGGGATGTCCCCCCGCTGCTTCGACTGGCCTGCTGTGCATGAGCCCACTCATGCCCACACACGGCAGCTCTGGGTTCTGCAGCTGGAGAAACCAAACCCACCCACTCGCAGTCGTATCCCTGGCCCCCTTGCCCTGTGCCTGGTCCATGTACATGGCCATGGTCCCCTTGCCCTGTGCCTGGTCCATGTACATGGCCATGGCTCCTTTGCCCTGTGCTGCCAGTACATGGTGGGCGAGTGGCTGCGTGAGTGAGTGGGAGGGTCAGTGGACGCATGACTGTGGGAGTACGAGAGAGAGAGAGAGAGAGAGAGGTGAATGCCCAGAGGCGTGCACCTGAGTGTGTGGGGCAGGGCGCAGGGAGTGGGTGCCTCACAGGGTGGGCAGTGGCCAGCTGGACTGAGCCCTTTTCCCACAACCCCTTTGCTGAGCTGCTTACTGCCCACTGCATGGCCAGGGTGGTCTGGGCTAGCCCTGGGGAGCTGACCATGCCCCCTGGCATGGACCCCCAGAGAGGGCAGCAGCAGCCGACCCTGGCCTCTGGCTATTGGTCCCCACGAGACCCCAAAGTGGAGCAGTACAGGGGGCTTGGGTGCCCAGCCGGCCCCGGCCTCTGGTCCTGCAGCGGGGAGTCTCCTCCCTCCACGTCTGTCTGGTGGCCCCCTTTAGGGTCCCGAGAGGAAGTGGCTTCTGAGAGAGAGGTGTGGCTGTGGCTGGCAGAGCGGGCTGGGCTGTGCCCTGCCGTGTGAGCGGATGCAGGCTGACTGGACCTTGCTCTCTGTCGCCCTGCAGCTGGTACTGTGAGTGTGGGTACCAGCAGCTGCCTCTCCCTGTCCCAACACCCAAGCCCTACCTCCGTGTTCCGACATCATTACATCCCCTACTTCCGAGGTAAGGCACGGGGCGGCCCCCGCTGCCAGCGTCCGTGTGCTCACATCCTGTGTCCACCGCATGGAGCCCTCTGTCGCACGCCCTGTGTGCCCCTCGCGCTGTGTGTGTGTGTGCATCCGGCCCCGTCACTGTCGGCGTGCAGTGTCCCCAGGAGAACAAACACAGGTCATTTGTCACATAAAGGAGCAGGGGAGGGGCTGAGGCTGAGGCGTCTGTGCCCGCGGTCTCTCTGTGGCCCAGTGAGGGTGGGCAGGACTGGGACTGACCAGCGGAACCCCCAGGGCTGGCCTGGGCTGCTCCCACCTGCAGCAGCGCCCTGCCAGGAGCTGGCAGGCTCCCACAGGGACTGACTGAACTGTGGCTCCCAAAACACGGACCACGGAAGCCCTAGCCCCCAGGGGACTGTTTCTGCCAGGGCCCTGAGGGTTGCACTCACATCTCCAACCCTTGATGCCAACAGTGGGGTGTCAGTCTGTTACAGCCCACCTAGATGCCCTCCTGGGATGCTGGTCCCCTGCACAGCGGGCAGGGCTCACCAGGGGGCACTTACCTCCCGCTGTTCGTTGGCCACTCATCCTCCCTCTGTCTAGAAGGTGGGAGACTGCACATGGCTTCTCCCCACTTCAGGGATCCCACTGTGGGGCAAGGACAGGCAGTGGACACTTTAGGGACCCCACTGTGGGGCAAGGACAGGCAGTGGACACTTCAGGGACCCCACTGTGGGGCAAGGACAGGCAGTGGACACTTCAGGGACCCCTCTGTGGGGCAAGGACAGGCAGTGGACACGTGTTCCCTGCGCCTTGGCTGGCTCCACGGGCAGCCCCAAGCCAGAACCGACCTTGGCAGCCCTGTCCTCCATGGCTGCTTTCTGAGGGTCTACCAGCGTGAGAACAGCTGGAGGCTAGCAGTCTACCGCGCACCAGGCCCCGCCTCCTCAGCCCTCAGGAAGGAGCCTCGTCCAGCGTGGGTGACTGTCATGGGCTACACCCACCCCACGCCTTGGCCACGGCCCCAGTGGCCATGGTTGTGAGATGACCTCTCCCCGGGTTGCCTCAACAAGGTTCAGCAGGTGTCAACCCAGACAGCTCCTAGTGCTGGAGTGGGGAGCATGAGACTAAGAGAAGGACGGCCATGGAGCAGGACTGTGGGCCCTAGGTGACCCGGGCATGCGCAGGCCAGCTGCTGTGAGTGACCGCAGAGGAGGGGCCGGCAGGAACGGCAGGCTCCATGCAGGAACCCATAACCGGAGTGGTCCACAAGCAAGAGGCATGACCCCCTCCCGCCTCTGCTGAGACCCGTGGGGGCAGTGGCCTCCAGGCCGTGGATTGCCACTGGCCGCAGTGACACCATGAGAGAAGCAGCAAACGGGTCTCCTGAGGCTCCTTCCACAAAGTGGCTCCACCAGTGCCCCCCAGAACTGCGTAGTTAGCAAAGACGACGGAGGGCTGCAGAAGTGTCCCAGTGAGGGAGCGGGGGAGAGCGGACGTTTGGAAGTCCCAGGGGTCCCTTCACAGCCCCAGTGCAGAGAAGGGGAAGTCCATGCCTGCAGGTGAACCCCCTGGAGCTGGCACGGAGGTGACACTGTCCGGTCGGGGAGCACACTGCTGGAACGTTCCTCCGCTGATGCTGACGGCCAGTGGGTGCCAGCAGAAGTCAGACAGAAGCCCCTCTGGAAGAGCGGGGAACCGCATCCTGAGGGCTGTGTGGCTGTCAAAAGCCACCTCGCCCCCAGCCAGGCTTACCACGGAGCAGGAAGCCGAGCTGCACCTGCTGACAGGGACCTGGCCTCCACCTGCTTGGCGACCGCAAGCAATGCATTTAGTTCCCAGGAAGGCAGAGGAAGGGGCAGCCACCAGTGCGGAGAAGGGACAGCACGTAGCCGGCCGAGGGTTCCCTGGAGCCTTGGCGAGAGCTTCCCAGGCAGGGAAGCTAGAGGGAGGGATGCAGCCGTGTCTCAGGCTGGGACAAGGTGGCAGAAGGAGGCAGCCTAAGTTAGACCTCCCAGGGGTAGGTGTGAGGGGCCACCGTGGCTACCAAGGCTAGACCTGAGTCCCCTGGCCTCGGGCGCCCCAGGCATCTTAAAATGGCTATGGCCCCCTCAGACAGATATTCCTGCAGACATAAAGAATCAAGCCACTTCAGCGACCCTGACCTTGCGACCACACCCTCAGGAAAAACAGAGCTGTGATCTGTAGCTGGAGAGAAGGAGATGGGCCAGTGGGGGCCAGTAGGCCCCACCCAGAGCCCCACCCAAGGGTCCCCCAACCCTAGATCCCATATGGGCACGTGCTGAAGGCCTCTGTGAAGGGGTTCGCTTGGCTCTGGGACAGGGTGGGCACAGCCGTAGTGGGCAGAAGGGACCCTGGCTTCCTGGGCCTGGTGTTCCCGGTGCGAGAGCCCTGCTGCCTGGTACCAAGCTGTAGGAGCCCGTTGCCTCAGGCTCTGGACTGTTCCAGGGCGAAGCAGTTCTGCAGTGGTTGTGGTGCTGGCAGGGAATGGCAGTGCCTGTGCCAAGCAGGACAGGTGCTGTGGGTTGTGTGGTCTGCTGGAGCTGAGCGCTAGCCCCCACATGTCCCACTCCTGCCCTGCAGCACCCCGCTTCCCACCCCCGCCTGGCTCCCGGATACCTCCCCCTTAGTCTACTGGGCTGCCCCGGGCAGATCTACTTTCAGGCCTGGCCAGTGTACCCCTGCTGTGCTCTGTGTCACTGCAAGGTCACCTGAGGACTGTCCACTGGTGCTGCCCCCTCCCCCAGGAAGGGGGGACCTGGGGCTTCAGGAGTGTGTCGTTGACATGTGCCGTGCACCCCTCATCAACGTGTTCAGTGGCCATTGCGTCCTGTCCATCCTGTTGCTCCCTGACGGTGTGTGGGGGCAGGTGGGCATTCAGTCAGGTGCCTGATGTGTGACATGGTAATCCAACTTAGTCCGTGAGAGAGGAGGGGCGAAGGGGCTGAGTGGCATGGTCCCCTGCCCTCCTGGAGCGGGCTGAGAGGGGCCGTTGGATTGCTGCTAGTGCCTTAATCCTGTCTCCGCTGGCCCTCGGAGACAGCAGTGTCCTGCCATGCGCAGGGAGACCTGGGCCTGGCACTGGTCATGGCCCAGAGACACGAGGGAAGGTGACCCAGGCCTACACATCTGTCCCGCTGAGCAGAACTGGACTCGAGGTTGGATTACCAGGTCACTGGGCCAGCCCCACTGCTGGGCAGGGCATTGGGCTGCTTTCCTAGGTGGCGGAGGGGACCCTGTGGCTGCACTCGTGTGCTTGAGACCTCTCATTTGCCTCCCCCTCCCCTTGTCCACTGCCCTTGCCCTTCCGTCTGGAGGCAGTGAAAGTGGCCGGAGTACGCCCAGCCTCTCGATGCTGTCCGACAGCAGGCCCCCCTCCTCCACCTACCAGCAGGCGCCACGCCACTTCCACATCCCAGGTAGGCCTGCGCCGTGCCTCAGCAGGCCTGGCTCTCCACTGAGCCTGCTGTCCCCACCCCCAGGGTGTGTTTGCATGGTCCCGGACGGAGGGGTGCCACCTGCTCCCCACACACGGGGGGCACGTTTTCTCATTCCCGGGCACATAGGGAGGGAACACGGCGCTGGCTACCCCTGGGTGGCCTTGAGGCTTTGCTTGGTGCCTGCCCTGGCCTCCTCCCTCCCCTTGCCCTGTGGATGGAGGGCAGTGCCTGCAGGGGGTGCTTGGGTGGGCTTGGGCCTCCCGTCCCCCTGGCTGTGTGACAGCTGCTGACGGAGGCAGCAGAGCAGCGGCCACACAGCACACCTGCTTACCCTCCTGCCCCCTTCTCTTCTCTCTTCTCCCCAGACTCTGGCATGAGAGATAACATCTATAGGAGGCCCCCCATCTACAAGCAGCATGGTACAGTTGGACTCCTCCCACGCCTGCGGTGTGCCCCGCATGTTCCCGCATGCACCCCTTGTCCTGTCCTGACCGTTCTGGAGCGGGGAGGGGCAGGGGGCGGCAACAGGCCAGGTACACAAGAGTACAGACACTTCCCTGCACACACAGTGAGCACAGAGGTGCCCTGGGGCCGGGGTTGGCACCGCATCTCTCCTGCTGTGGGAGAAGCAGCCAGGAGCGTGCCTGAGCCTGGCCCGAGCTTCGGAAAGGAGGACTGGCCCAGCAACCAGGCCCAGGCTTCGCACGGTCTGGATGGGCTGCTCGTACGAGGGGTGGGAGGGTGTCTCTCAGCCCTCTGCCCTCCCGCCTCTGCTGCCCGGGAGCCTACCTGTCACAGGCGTGCAGGGAGCAGCTTGCTTGGACCTGGGGCAGGAGTCAGCCATGGTAACAGGTGGCTGGCCTGGGACCCTGCTTCCTTCCCTGTGGGACAGGACAGAGCCCCTGGCCCCGCCTGCCTGGGCTGCTTGTGAGGACCCCGGGGCTGCTGCATGGTCACGGAGCAGCTAGTGCTCTGCGTAGGGCTGCATGCCAGCCAGGGACAGCCACAATGGCGCCAGAGATGGGGAGAGCGGCGCCCATCTGGGCCTTCTGGGCAGGACTCCCAGAGAGAAGGGCCTGCCCCACGCTGGCCTCTGGACAGCCACTTTCGGGGAACCCCACTGCTTGCTGATAGGTCAGCACTGTCATCGTGAGGCAGGGCTTTGCGTCGGTGCCCTGCTGGCGGAAGGAAGCCCTGTGCTGGGTGCGTTCCTTCCTCTTGCCAGCAAGGATGAATGGCGCCTGGTGGTTGTACAGGATGGTCACCTGACTGCTCAGGGCAGGTGGGTGTGCCCCAAGCCCAGCCCCAGCTGCAGGCGGGAAGGACATAGCTACGTATAAGCCCTTCCTGTCGCAGTCCTGCCAGAGGAGCCAGGACGGAGGCAGCCTCAGTCGTCCTGTGCGCGTGGGAAGGGGCCAGGCAGTCAGGGCAGCAGGCCTGAGTGAGCGCTGCTGTCCGGGGCACAGATCAAAGCTCCCTTTCACTGATCCCGAGTGAGCAACAAAACCTTCCCTACTCCACACGTCGAGGTTTGGATTCTCTTACAAGATAGGTTTTACGGAGGTGCCAAGTGCCTGGCGGGGTTAAGAAATCAAACAACAGACCGCACCTGACCCAGCAGGCCGCATGAACTGAGCATGCTCAGACCGGGTCCTGGGCTCCGGCCCCAGAACTGGGCTCTCCTGCACCACACTTCCTCCGCCAGGAGGGGTCGCTGTGTCCCCTGGGCTCAGGTGGGGGCCTTCATAGACTCCCCAGGTGGGTGTGTTAGTAGCCTTGAAACTCAAGTAATCCCAGAGGAAGCCTCTGGAAGCGCTGGTCCCGTGGTGGGGGCTGCGGAGAGGATGGTCAGTCACAGAGAGGGGCAGCTGGGCCACTGGCTGGGCCGGAGAGGCCAGCGCTGTGCTCTGTCTGACCCAGTGGGGAAGACCGCTGTTAGGGCATCCAGTGCCTTCCACTCAGTGACCCAAGAAATACTTTAAAGGTTTACTTATTTTTAGTTGAAAGACAACTTTACAAGGAAGCAGACACAGAAAGGGGTATCTTCCATCCACTGGTTCACTCCCCGAATGGCTGCAACAGCCAGGACTGAGCTGACCCAGAGCCAGGAGCTTCTTCTTCCTGGGCCTGAGGAGTAAAGCCCCGGAGTTAAGCTCTGTTCTTCCTCCAAAAGAGCTCCTTCCGGGGCTGGCACTGGGTACTGCAGCCGGAGCCCAGGCTGGCCCCAGCTTCACTTGGGTGTTAGCGGGAGGGCTTCTGCCTGCAAGCCGCAGTGGCTCTGCCAGCACGCAGCACAGATGGCTCCAGCTGCAGGCCGCTGGCCAGTGCCCTGGAGCCACACCCGCAGGAGGCCGCTGGAGGTTGGCATCACTGCAGCAGGCCAGGAGCCGTGCGCTGTCTTCAGCCAGTGCCCGTGCACACCGCACAGCAGGTCAACTTGCCAGGCACAGCTTCCAGCAGCTGCAGCCCCTGGCTGTGCCACGGGAGTCATCCCAGCAGACGGCGTGGATGGTGATGCCGCATCTCATTGTCCCCATGGGCCAGAGAGGACAGTGGGGGCTGGCCGGCGTTGGGGCCTCATTTGGGAGTGTGTGCTGCACTGAATCAGCGCTTGCAGGAGTGTTTACCCAGAACCTTCCAAGACAGAGAGGAAGATCTTCCATCTGATGATTCACTCTGACTGCAACAGTCAGAGCTGTGCCAATCAGGAGCCAAAAGCTCAGGTCTCCCATGAGGGTGCAGGGTCCAAAGCTTTGGGCCGTCCTCTCCCAGGTCACAAGCAGGGACCTGGATGGGAAGCAGGGCTGCCAGGATTAGAATCAGCACCCCTATGGGACCCTGGCACATTCAAGGCGAGGACTTTAGCTGCTAGGCCACTGTGCTGAGCCCCCAGGACAGGAGCTTCTTTGGGCTCCTGTCGGCCTCGACTGCTCTGGCCTACAGGCTTCTGAAAGACCAGGGACATTGCCAGGTGTGATTCTGCCTGTCCCAGGCCCTCTGCGGGGCAGGGCCATACAGGCTGGAGCAAGCAAGGGGTGACGGGGGGGGGGGTGCAGAGAGCAAAGGAGTGAACCAGAGTGGGTGGATAAGAGGAGGGATTAAGGGGCGGAAGGGAGGGAAGAAAAGGTGGGTAGATGGGTGGCATCTGGATAAGGGCAGGAGGCAGGAAGGGCAGATGGGCAGGTGGGTGAGGGGTTCGATGGATAGCTGACTGGCAGGTGGATGACTTGATGACTAGATAGGAATGAACTGTAAGGCGGAGCCGACAGAAAGGCGGGCCAGCCGGCTGTCCACAAGGCTGGAGACCTCAGGCTTTCATGGGGCGCGTCCACAGGGATTTCCCCGGGGCTGCTCACTGGCAGGTGCATCTGGGCTCAGAGGGAGCTGCCTTGCTGGGTAGAGAAACTGCAGGCGCGCTCCCTCTCCAGCCCTCTATCCCCTCACAGCATGTTGCAGTCCATCCTCCAGCTTGCCTTGGAGTTCCCAAGTTGTGTCCATGGCTGCCCTGCACAGAGGGATCCCCTGGGGTCCTCACAGCAGGGGCACCCCCGAGCAGGGGAGGAATCAAGCCTGTGGTGTGTGGATCAAGCTGCCAGCTCCCAGAGAGTCTGCCATGCTTTGACGGCAGTGACTGCATGCGGAAGGCCCTCGGAGTGGCTCGCTGCCCTGCTTGTGGACACCTGGGCAGCTTGGAGCCCCGGGAGTCTGGCCAGCCTGTCCTGAGGTGTGAAGGCCTCCAGGTCACGGTGGCCTGGACACCAAGGGGGAGCTGTGCCCCGAGAGCTCTCTGTTGTCTGCCTCTTGCAGTTTTTGTGGGGATGCTCCTGCACAGTTCCCTGGCTCTTTAGAACTGTGGCTGCCTTTTTCATGCCCAGGCCTCCTCTCACAGGACAGTGTCCTGGGAGCTGCCAGGGTAGCCTCTGGCCTGACCATGCTCCGGTGACCTGGCTCATGCGGCTGCTCTTTCCAGGGCTCTGCTGCCAGCCACAGGTGTCATGTGGGCAGGTGGCTCCCTGCCCCCTCTTCCTGCCTCCCGCCACCATGCAGAGAGCAGGGTTTCTGTCTTTGTGGTGGCAGTCAGACTCCCCTGGAGGAGGGAGGACCAGGCGGCCGTGAGAAGAGGGACATGAGGCTGTGTGGGACAGCATTGCTCAGTCTTGGTTTTGGCCTTATCCCATCAAGGTCCTGTAGCACAGTCCCCATTTTCCAAGCTCTCGGGCCTGGTGTCAGCTTTGGCCTTGGTGGTGCAGGACACAGGGCGCTCTAGAGGCCCGGCAGGTGCAGGTAAGACGCCAGCCAGGCCGGGGCCCTGCCGGGGCCGCTGGAGGCTGGGGAAGGAGCCGGGCTGCTCTTGCTGCCTGTTCTGTGCATGGGGGCAGTGTGGATGTGAAGTATGGCTCAGGGGTCTTTACCTACTGAGGCAGGTGCTGAAGGTCAGCGCAGCCTCGTGGGGAGTTGTCGGTCACTAGAGGTGACTAGATGACTAGAGGTCATCTCAGCCAAGATGAATGACTCACCCACGCACATGCATTACGTATGCACACATGTACCATGTGTCACTCATGAGCACACACACGCACCAGACATGTGCATGCCTGTCCTGTGAGTGCATATGCACGTGTGGGAACACACGCCCATAACACGCATGTGTACGTGTGCACACCACAAATGGCAGGAGCACACAGACCCTCCTGACAGGCACTGCTGTCCCCAGGACCATCTGGTCACACGTTGTCACTTGATCCCTGCTCCTCGTGGGCCATGTCCGAGGACAGAGCCCAGTCACCATGTTGAGTTTGATGGGCGGCCAGGAGCAGGGTGGAACAGACAGGGAAGGACCTCTGTGGTCTCTGCCACCACCAGACCCTGGACCTTAGGTCAGCTGTCCCTCTAGCCCAGCCTCGGTCCCCAGGCAGGTGGCACAGGTGGCCATGGCCCGTCCTCTAGCCCAGCCTCGGTCCCCGGGCAGGTGGCACAGGCAGCCGTGGCCCACCCTCTAGCCCAGCCTCGGTCCCCGGGTAGGTAGGGTAGGTAAGGCAGGTAGCCTGGGCCTAACACCTGCTGCTTCCAAGTTCCCCTTTGAAGGTGAAGGGTGTGCTTCTCAGTGGCTGCCGCTGACCACAGACGCTCCCTGACGACTGGTTAACCACCGCCCCCCCCAGGGCTGTATTCCTCTGGAGCATCTCTGGCCTGCCTTCCAGAAGGTTCTCTCCCTCTGGGCCTTTCCCCAGAGGGTTTCCTGTCTCAGAGAGCAGCCAAGAGCACAGGACATTTTCACTCATGTATGGGCTTTTTCCTTCCAGCCTCAAGGCACTGGGATGGGGAGGACGGCAGCTTTGACCAGGACAGCAGGAAGGTACAGCGCTGACCCCCCTCATCCATTCCCCCCTCACCCTGGGTTGGGGGCTCCCACAGTCCCCTCATCCATTCCCCCCTCACCCTGGGGGGGCTCCCACAGGGTTTACAGCACTCACCAGCCTCCTGAGAGCTTAGCCTATTGTTTCTGGCTCCCGCCTGTTGTCATGCAGAGAACCCAGGACTAGGCAGACTGGTGTCATTCTCCCCTGCTGAGCCCCCTCCCCAGAACCCAAGCTCCCTGAGCTTCTGGCTCCCCACCTGTAAAATGGGGCAACACCGGGCAGTGCCCCGGGGCTGAGGTGGTTGGTGCACACGGGCTGACACCAGTGACCCCATGAGAAATGCACACAGCAGGGGTGTGTCCAGCGGGGTCGGTCCTGGCCCCCAAGCGGCCTCCACATCCCCCACCCTCACCCCTGCAGAAGACCAGCTGGCTGCTGCTCAAGGGAGACTCGGACACGAGAACCAACTCACCGGACCTGGACAGCCAGTCCTTGTCCCACGGCAGCGGCCCTGAGCGAGAGCCCATCCCGAGGATGCCCGGGGACCATTTCTGCTCACGTGAGTGGTTCTTCTGAGGCACAGGGCAGCTCTGGGCGGCCCCAGGCCCGTGGCCAGGCAGCTAGGATGCCTGAGGGGGAGCCAAGAGGCACTGCTGAGTCCTAGGCACACGTGACAGCCGCCCCGCCACCATCTCCAGGGACCTCCCTGAGCGGGCCAGGGAGCAGGCACCCCAGGTAGTTCCGGACTGCTGGGTCGGGACTTGGGTCCGTTTCCCTCGAGTGGGAGGCATGGTCCAGGTGGGCAAGTCCAGATGTGGTGTCGCTGACAGCCTTGCCCTTGTCCCCTGCGGGCCTGGACGGGGAACAGGAGTGCCACCTGCCTGCCTCTGGGGATGACGGGATCACTGAGAGCAGAGTGAGAAAGTTCCAGATGATGTCACTTGCTTAAGATGCTGAAGGAAAACACACAGCTCCCTGAAGTAGCCTCTGGGTCCAGACTGGGGCCAAGCTAAGGAGGGACGATGCGGGGCTGAGAAGGGGGGGGCAGTGCCATGTCCACATCTGTGGGCAGTGGTCACCGGGTCGCGCCGTCTGGAGCTGTGATTGTCACCCCTCCCCCGTCACGCTGGAGGCACACTGCTGGGAGAGAAGCCCAGGGGATTACACTGCTGCAGACCAACTTGGCTCACGTGTCTTGCTTTGCATGTGCCTGGCTGTCTCCAGCTCTGCCTAGGGTACATGTCTCAGAACTGAGGTCAGCTTGGAAAGGGCTTCCATGAGGGTCTGGAAGGGCCAAGGCTGCAGGGTGCGGCTATTGGCATCTCCCTGCTATCCCCCAGCCCCGCTCTGCCCCCTGCTGCCGCCATGCTGGGTCACTGGCAGGGACAGTGGCCTTGTGCTGGCCTGTGCTTGTTCCTGGCGGTGCCTGTGTGTCTGGTTGTGAGCTCAGGTCTGGCCGCACGCTGGATCTGGCAGTGTTCAAGCAGTCCCCCGGGGGCCAGGCAGGGAGTGTATGGGCACAGAGGGGAGCATCTTCCAGCTTTTGGCCAGGCAGGTTTCACCCGCAAGCCTGGCCCCATGACCTTTGACCTCTGGGTGCTCTTAGAGGAGACTGACAGCTACCCCAGTGATGTCCAGTGGAAGAGTCCAGTGGGGCCATGTGCAGGGGAAGCTGGGCTGGAGGTGGGCTGGCCTGGGGACCCTCCCTGTGCCCTCTGCACACTTCCTCCTCTGCAAATGCCTGTGAGGGGACCTAGGCCAGTGCCAGGCACAGGGCCATGGAGCTGGCCAGCCCTGTGGTGTCCAGTGGCTAGACCGGGCCTTCGGATCGTCAGGCTGCACGTGTGGCTGACCCGCAAATGTCCCCGCCTATGCGGGACAAGCCGTGTGTGCGTGCTCTCCGCACAGCGTCTGCTTCCCAGAGCTATGACTAGGACTGCTGGTGGCACTTGGGGGGAGCCACCATGTGCTTCAGCTCACATCACAGCACGTGGGGATGGCGTGGGTGCGGGGCCTGCTGGTGGCCTGAGCAGGAGTGCTCCGTGGCCTCAGCTCATCTCAGTGGGTGCGGGGTCCATCGTGCTGAGCCCTGGGGCCTGCCAGTGTATGCAAGCTAAGCAGGAAGTGAGCGCGCGCAGTTGCGTCGTCTTCTGCCTAGGTCCTCCGTGCCTCACCACATCACCCCAAGTGGGGTTCCCCCTGCACCTCACTTCAGGAGCAGAGTGGCGGCCACGTGCGGCAGGATGGCGACGCCCAGCAGCGGGCGCTCAGTAGGTGTTGGTTGAATTGGGATGCGTTGAATTCAACGGGTATCTATTGAGCCCTCGCTCTGTGCCAGACGCTCATCGGGGGTCGAGGGGGCGCAAGACGAGCACAGCCTCAGCTGGAGAAGCCAGCAGGGAGTCGTGCGAGGCAGACATGCTGGCAGGAGCAGCCCCCTGCCAGCACCCACCTGGGCGCCTCTGTGCCCGCTGTGAGGGCTGGGATCCAGTGGTACCCCATCCAAGACGCCGTCCGCGCCTGCCGGCTGGGGCAAAACTCACCGTTCAGTCATTTTTCCATTCCTCCTGTCTGCCTCCCATGCCGGCCTGCTGCCTTGAGCACCTACTGTGTGCTGGACCGGGGAGGGGAGGTGAAGACAGCCCCAGCAGGGCCAGTGTGGCACCCCTGTCCGATGGGGTGTCTCCCGTTGGTGCTGCCACGCCTTCCAGATGGGAGCTTGTAGGCAGGAATCCATTCTGCTATGGGCTCCGTCCTCGCCCTGGCAACGCCCCAAAGGTCTCCTCTGCAGAACTCACGCCAGCGAGCCTCATGGCAGCAGTCTCAGGGCCACACGGGTGAGACTCCTGACCCAGCCAGGTGGTGAGGCTCTTACAGCTGCCTCTGGACCCCCACTCCTGACCCTGCAGCTCCTGTGCTCCTGCCTTGAACATTCCCTGGATAGTCAGAGGTGTGTGGAGAGGCTCTGAATTAGCAGCCAAGGCAGCACCAGGCAGGGGGTGGAAGGATGTCCCAGTATGGCCACTTGGCCACACCCCAGCCTGCAATGTCCCCATGTGTCCTGGTCTGCAAGGCCCCCGTGTGTCCCAGCCTATGAGATCCCCATGTGCCCTGGCCTGCAAGGCTCTGTGGATGCTCCCATCTACTCTGTGACCCTACACTGCATGGCCTAGTTAGGAGGGAGGGTCCCAGAGCCAGGGTCCCTGTGAATGTTTCCTCCTGGTTGCAGGAGGAAAGCCGGGGGACACGGCCTCGCTGCTTGCCTGTGAGCTGCTGGCATGCTGCAGTGGGAAGTTGCTGCTGTCTCTGGAAAGTGTCACTCTGTGTCTGCCACCTCTTGGTCTCAGGACTGCACTGCCTGTGGGGGTGCACGCCTCTGCTGAGGGGCAGCATGAGGGCCCAGGAGGAGCCCATGCCCCTGTAGACAGGCCCACCAGGGCCTATGAGAGGGCACAGCCCATTGACTCGCCCAGTGTCCCTCCTGGTGCCGTGGAGTGACAAGCATGTGGTTGAGGCAGTCCTGGGCAAGGATGCAGCTGAGATCCAGGTCGTGGAGGGAGGGCGGTGTCTGGCACGACTGGGGGTGAGTGGGTCTGGAACAGTGTGGAGTGCGAAGGATGTTGCAGCTGTGGCTGGGGGGCTAAGGAATGGCGAGGGACCCGCATGGCTGGGGAATGCAGTGTGCATGGGTCGGGCAGGACAAGCTGGCCACAGCCTTTGAGTGTCCCAACCTGGCCTCCAAGGGCAAGAGAAGGTTCGAGAAGGTTCTGAAAAGGGTTCCGACATGATCTGCTCCATACTGGAGCCTAATTTCAGGCAGGGAGGCAGGAGGGGCTCCTGCCATCTTCCAGGCTGGGGTTGTATCCTGGGTGGCACAGAGGAAGCTCAGAGGGATTGTGCGTTGGGCAAAGGAAGTGGTGGGAAAACAGAGAGCTAGGTGCAGATTGGGCGCAGCAGGGCTGTCGGGAGGATGTTGTGGGGTGCAGGGAGCAGCAGGGCTGTCGGGAGGATGTTGTGGGGTGCAGGGAGCAGCAGGGCTGTCGGGAGGATGTTGTGGGGTGCAGGGAGCAGCAGGGCTGTCGGGAGGATGCTGCAGGGTGCAGGGAGCAGCAGGGCTGTCGGGAGGATGCTGCGGGGTGCAGGGAGCAGCAGGGCTGTCAGGAGGATGCTGCGGGGTGCAGGGAACAGCAGGGCAGCCTGAGAAAATGTTGCATCAGTGCTGGGAGTAGCTAAGATGTTGCGTCAGTGCTGGGAGTAGCTGTCACCACCAGCAGGAGACCCGGCTGTGTTTCATCTGTGCCCCCCCTGTGACAGGCAGCTTTGCAGAGAGTCAGCTGGGGAGGATGGAATGGGTGCTGCTCTGCCCAGGCCCACTGTGCGTCCTGGCAGCCTGAAGCGGTCAGCACTTCAGGGGACATGTGTACAAGGGGCCAGTCCGGAGGCTGGGGTGGACTCAGGCTGGCTGGAGGGCCTGATGTCTCACAGTGCCCAAGAGGCTCGCCCACACCAAGCCCAGGGCAGGGCTTCCAGCCCCAGGTGGTGTCCGCGTGAGGGTGATGGGCTGGAGCCTCTAGGCATTGAGATGCCACCGTCCCTACTGCCAGAAGCGCCGTCCCCTCCGCCCAGTTCCAGGCCTGAGCTTCGCCCATGACCTTCTAGGTTCTCTCCCTGTGGGTCCCCCTTGTGGCCCCCACAGCCATGTCACAGCCTCTTCCTCATTACCACTGACCAGAGCTTTGAGTTCCTGTCACTGTGAGCAGCTTCCTTCCCTCCTGGAAGCCAGTGTTCCCACCCCCCCCCCCCGGTTCCATGGGTTGGGGCGCCAAGAAAATGCCTGCAGTTTACCCGAGGGGTGGGCCGGGGTGCTGTTCCCCTAGGGTTGAGTCCCAGCTTGGTACTCCCTGGTGAACTCCCTCCTGCTTGGTCCACGGGCCAGAGCAGGGCTGGAGGGGGAAGGGCTAGCCCAGCCTTTGCCTTCGTGGCCGGAGGCTCAGAGTGCTGAGCCTGCCCAGGTTCACAGCTGTGATCAGAACCCAGGACAGCGGGGAGCGAGGGCCCTGGGCTGGCTTGCTCGGCAGCTGTGCGGAGCAGCACTGCAGGGGACGTGTGCACGTGGGGCTGTGAGCCGCATGTCTCCTCCAGCCAGCACTGACACGAGAGTTCTGAACACCAGGTTGTATTGGATCCACAGCCCGTGGGAACCCAGGCCCCGCATGCTCAGCCAGACAGGGCAGCAGGCTGCTGGGATGGATTACAGGAGCCAGCAGTCAAATGGAAATGACGCACGGAGCTGAGAAATACAACAGAGCTTTCTTTCTGTCTCTCCTGTCTCTATAAAAATCTGCCTTTCCAAGAAAAAAAAATAAGATTTACAGATAGGAGAGACACAAAGACCTGCCCGCTGCTTCACTCCCCAAACGGCCTCAGTGGCCAGAGCTGAGGCAATCCAAAGCCAGGAGTCTCTTCCGGGTCTCCTACGCAGGTTCAGGGTCCCAAGGTTTTGGGCCATCCTGGACTGCTTTCCCAGGCCACAGGCAGGGAGCCGGAAGGGAAGTGGAGCAGCCAGGACATGAACCAGCACCCACAAGGGATCCTAGAGCTTGCAAGGCAAGGACTTTAGCCATTGAGCCATCACACTGGGCTCAAAAAAATAAATTAAAAAATAATGATAAAATAGAAAAACCTGTACCTTGCCTTAGGGACCTATGAGATAAAACTGTGTTATCATCAGGTTCCCAAAGGAGAGGAAAGAATGGGCTTGAAACTATGTTCAAAGGAGTAACAGCTAGAAACTTAGGAAGTTTTGGCTCAAAAGGCATAAATCCATAAGTTCAAGAATGGGGTGGAGCGCAGAGAAGATGGATGTGAGCAGGTGTGGATGGCGGACACACACCAAGTCCCGGAGGCAGCAGGGGCGAGGAGACACAGCCCACCCTCCCAACCCTCCTGCCGGAGGAGCAAGTCACAGACTTAGAGCGACACAGAACGCGGCTAAGGGAGGACATGGACACCAGAGGAGACTGGGAGCTTCTGGTGAGAGCCAGCGGGGCGCATCTGATGCACAGGTGGCAGCTGGAGCAGCAGGTGCAACAGATGCAGTGTGCTGAGCAGGCAGAAAACGTGCCTGACAGTCCCGCAGTGGGCGGACAGGACAGAGTCGCCTCCGGGGTGGAAAGGCGTCCATACTGCACACCAGGTGGCTCAGTGCCAAGGCCAGCAGGCGGTCAGGGCAACTGGGGCTTTCCAAGCTGCGCAGGTGCCTGCCCTGTGTCAGGCGACCCCCACTGACCTGATGGGGGCACATGCAGCTGGGCACATGCTGGCTCAGAGGCCGGGCAGCCCTGGCTCCCAGGCCCTTGTGGGCTTCAAACACAGCAGACCCCGGTTCAGGAGCCCGGCGTGGGTCACTCGGGGAAGTGCCCTGACGGCCACCCTGAGACACCCTGCTCCGGTCCAGTGGCTCAGCAGGACGGTCTCCAGATTCCAGGGAAGTCCTCGTTGTGTGTACAAACCAGCAAGCAGGGCTTTACTAGAGGGCCCCTGGGGTGGCAGGTCAGGAGGCATCCAGGGACTGCCACTGGGTGGCCTCAGGCCAGTACCTGCCCATGACTGGCCGCTGTGCCTCTCAGTAGAGTGAGAAGAGCTGGTTGGGCCATCTGCCAGGAGTAGCTACTCAAGGACAGCATGCAGCTCTGGCTGTGAGCCCCTCTGCCTGCCCAGCCTCCCAGCTCTCAGCTGAGTGTGTATGATGTGAGGGTGGGGGGGCGTAGTCTTTGTGGCAAGAGAAATGAAACACCCAACCTTGATGTTAAAAAGGGCCTAACCAGAACCTTCCAGAAACTTCCAGGACTTTCCATGGGCCTTGCTGTACCCACTGTGACCTTCATAGAATTTGTTCTGTGTCCTGGTGTGTGAGAGCCCCAGAATTCAAGACAGCTGTGGGGACCTTGGCTTGGGAGCAGGGCCGTCCTGGGAGGGTGGGGGCAGCTGTATGCACAGCCTTACCTGCCCCACCTAGGTAGGCACGATCCTAGGTCAGTCCTGCACACGTACGAGGCCTGCGAGCCCTGGGTGACACGAGTGCAGGGGGCGGCCTGGTGGCTCCAGGAGCTGCGGGACACCGGCCCCGTGCGTGGCGAGCCCTGCTGTGTGCCAGTACTGAGACAGGAACGCAAGGTGGAGAGGATGTGACACCCCCTCGCTGAGCTCTCAGGCTGCCGGGGACAGTTCAGGGACCCAGGACAACCTCCTGAGGGTGCTTCTCCGTCCCCAATCCTTCCTGGCATGGTGTTGAGAGGTGTGTTTATCGGGGGTGGGGAGAGGTGTGTTCATGGGGGCATTGGGAGGTGTGTTCATTGGGGGTGTTGGGAGAGGTGTGTTCACCGGGGGTGTTGGGAGAAGTGTGTTCATGGGGGTGTTGAGAGGTGTGTTCATCGGGGGTGTTGAGAGGTGTGTTCATCGGGGGCGTTGGGAGGTGTGTTCATCGGGGGTGTTGGGAGAGGTGTGTTCATGGGGGTGTTGGGAGAGGTGTGTTCATGGGGGTGTTGAGAGGTGTGTTCATCGGGGGTGTTGGGAGAGGTGTGTTCATGGGGGGTGTTGGGAGGTGTGTTCATGGGGGGTGTTGGGAGAGGTGTGTTCATGGGGGGCGTTGGGAGGTGTGTTCATCGGGGGTGTTGGGAGAGGTGTGTTCATGGGGGTGTTGGGAGAGGTGTGTTCATGGGGGTGGTGAGAGGTGTGTTCATCGGGGGCGTTGGGAGAGGTGTGTTCATGGGGGGTGTTGGGAGGTGTGTTCATGGGGGGTGTTGGGAGAGGTGTGTTCATGGGGGTGTTGGGAGAGGTGTGTTCATGGGGGGTGTTGGGAGGTGTGTTCATGGGGGGTGTTGGGAGAGGTGTGTTCATGGGGGTGTTGGGAGAGGTGTGTTCATCGGGGGTGGGGAGAGGTGTGTTCATGGGGGTGTTGGGAGGTGTGTTCATGGGGGTGTTGGGAGAGGTGTGTTCATCGGGGGTGTTGGGAGAGGTGTGTTCATGGGGGGTGTTGGGAGAGGTGAGTTCATCGGGGGTGTTGGGAGAGGTGTGTTCATCGGGGGTGTTAGGAGAGGTGTGTTCTTTGGGGGTGTTAGGAGAGGTGTTAATGGGGGGTTTGGGAGAGGTGTGTTCATGGGGGTGTTGGGAGAGGTGTGTTCATCGGGGGTGGGGAGAGGTGTGTTCATGGGGGTGTTGGTAGAGGTGTGTTCATCGGGGGTGTTGAGAGGTGTGTTCATGGGGGGTGTTGGGAGAGGTGTGTTCATGGGGGGTGTTGGGAGAGGTGTGTTCATGGGGGTGTTGAGAGAGGTGTGTTCATCGGGGGCGTTGGGAGAGGTGTGTTCATGGGGGTGTTAGGAGAGGTGTGTTCATGGGGGTGTTGGGAGGTGTGTTCATCGGGGGTGTTGGGAGAGGTGTGTTCATGGGGGGCGTTGGACAGAAGTGGAGGGGTAGAGCCGGTGAGGACACACAGAGGCCACTATGCCTGCTTGCTCTGCCATGCGCTGCACCCCATGTGGGCCCAGGTCGGCCCTTTTGCTTCAAAGGAAGCTAGTGGTTAGGGCTTTAACCCGAGTCCATGACTGCCCCCAGCCTTGTATGATTTTAGAAGCAATCAGTCTTCTCCCTGGGGCCGCTGTCCCTGCAGAGGCTGGCTCGGCTCCACCTGCCTGGCCTTCGTCCCCTGCTCTGCTGGTGGCAGTGAGGGAGGGGAGCCCGCGGGGCTGGGCTCAGGCAGGCGGGCTCAGGACAATGCCCTCACTCTGCCCTCACTCTCCTCCTGCCCTGGGGACAGGAGGTGGCTGATAGTCCCCGGCCGGCCCTGCTCCCTTGGTCGGAAGCCCTGAGCCACACCAGGCTGGGCCCGGTGACAGAGCTTGCTGTATCTGTTGCAGGTTTCGCCTATTCCAAATCTGACTGTCTCCCAGGAGATGGAAGGAATGGCTTGGACCAGAGGGTAGGTACCTGACCCTTCCCCAGCCATGCTGTGCTGTTCACACCCGCCAAGTCAGGGCATGTGTGTGTGCCCACGTGGCCATGCTCACCCGCCTGTCCTTGCCTGCCCCTCCACTGCTCCCCACCGCTCCAGCCACAGACCCCACGGAGGCCTGGGTGTGGGGTGCGGGGTGCCCCCCCTCCTCCTGGGGGCCGATGTCCCCAGACCCCACTAGCCCCAAGTCAGAAGTGTTTGGAGGACCGGCTCTCCCGGTCCTGAGGGTGCACGGCTCCTTCCCTTGCCAGGACCCAGTCGGCCTGGCACCTGTTTCCACTCAGCAAGGCCTTGTCAGGTACTGCGGGGGCCAGCCCTGTGCCTGGAAGAGCTTGTCCCATGGAGAGCTGCTCCCTTATGCCCTGTACCCCGATAGGCCCTTCCTTGAGGGGAGCCTTGTGGGGCCAGAAACACCCCCTCTCAAGCATCATGAGGCCCCCTAGGTCTCCCTGTGTGAGCCAAGACCTGTTACCTCTCCAGTAAGGCCCTCAGAACCGAGGCCCCTGGTTGCCTGAGCCGTTGTGGTCAACGGGGTCAGCCTCCAGGTGTGGTGTGTCCCATGGGGGCCAGCGCTTGTCTGTTCCCGTCCCATGGGCTCCGCCACACTGCCCCTATTGCTCCTCAGAGCCTGGCTCCCAGCACCCCCTGGTCCCTGGAACCCCATGGCACAGGCACCTCTGGATGATTGGGTCCTGGTAAACCTTGTCTCCCACCCGCTGACCCTGCGCCCAAGGGGAGGAGCATGCGGGAGCTCGCCTGCTTCCCCTCCCACAGGGAACACAGCGGCTGGGAAGCTGGCCAGTGTGCCCAGGACCCTGCCCCTCCACGCGTGGCAGGCGCTCCCAGGTCCGAGTGTCCTCACCTGGAATGCCTGTTCTCTAACCTGGGGGTCAGTGGTCTGGGCCAAGCCACAGTCCTTAACCCCCGCTGTCCCAAGACCAGGCCTGGACGCTCTCCTCTGGGCACGGGAGGAAAGGGCGAGGCTGGGGTTCCTCACGTTTCCGATCTGTGTGGCTGTCTCCTGGTGACACAGGCTGTCCCTACAGTGTCCCAGCCAAGGGCTTGGCCTCCAGACTCAGCCGGGCCAGCTGGGGCCAGCCTGGGTCAGGGTGGTGGCTCTGCCCCTCCTGCAGCTGTGGGAGACAGCAGCTGGTGACAGCCCTGGGAGCCACAGCCTGTGAGAGTGCCACCCTGCGGGCCAGGTGACCGTACAGCTAGTGCTGGCCAGCATGTGGGTGCTCACCACGAGGGTGCTTGGGGGACTCCGGGGGCTTCTGATGACCTCGCGTTGGGATTCCTGTCCCAGCCAACATCCCTTGCCCAGCCCGTCCCCGCCTTGTATGCTGTTTGCCTAGTTCTCAGCTGGTATTTCAAGTGACCTTTGAGGCATGGGCCCTGGACTCTGGCCCTGGCCCGGGAAGCCCCTGGTGCTGGTCCCCATGGTCCTGCCGCTGGCCTGGGGTGCTTTACAGTTCCTATCCAGTTGCTTCTCCGTTTGTACCTCGGGAACGGATGCTTGAATGGCCTGGAGGGCGACAGGAGACACAGGGACAAGGAACCTGTGAGCACCATTTCACACAGGAGTCACAGGGCAGGAAATGACAGGAGGGAATTGTAGGGAAAGAAAGAGCCGTGGGTGAGAAGAGCCCCCAGGGTGGCCAAGGCAGAAGGACCCAGGGCCAGTGATGGGATGGAGACAGGGAGACACAGGACCACCTGGCTTGTTCCCAGGATGTCACTCTAAGCCCCACATGTCCCAGAGGCCTGACCTGGAATGTGGGAGCCGCTCCCTGTGGCTGAGGCAGCCGGCTGCTGCTCCAGCAACAAGGGGACGGGCCCTGGCTCGGGCGGACGCTGTGCCAACTCCCAGGGTGAGTGTCATTGCGTGACAGTCTGCCCCTCAGTGTGCCCTGCCCAGGAAAAGGCAGAGGCTGGGGTTAGATGTGGGACAGCGAGTCGCACGGGCTGCTGCCGGCACAGTCAGTAAACTGCTGGCAAAGGATCACGCATCCCAGTAAGGACGAGGGGAAGCTCACAGCAGGTGGGGAAGCAGCGTGGCGCCGTGGCCGACTGGTGGCGGTCAGGAGGGAGGAGCAGAGTTCGCAGTGGACAGGGCATCGATGCTCCGGGTGAAGGAACCATCAAGGAATGCAGTCGCAGGACTCAAATCTGAAATGCCACGTGCCGATGCCAGCTACCTTGGGAAACAAGAACATGACTTGAATGCCACTCTTTTGAACATGTGAATCTGTGAACAACAATGAAAAAGTAATCCTAAAACATGTTTTTAAGGAGGTTAATTCGTTTGAAAGGCTGACAGGAAGAGAGGGAAAGGTGGAGAGACAGAGAAAGAGGAACAGCTGTTCCAGCTGGACTCCGGGGCTGGGCCGGGGCAGGGAGCAGGAGCTACTGCAGGTCTGCTTCGTGTGTCCAGGGCCCAGGCACCCAGGCCGTCACCTGCTGCTTTCCCGGGCCCTCAGCAGAGCAGCAGGACTCAGCCTGCAACTAGGCAATGCCAGCAACGGCTAACCCACAGTGCCAACCCCTGGCTCAACAGTGGTCAGTCACATATGGGAAAATGGATACCTGCTGAGTCGGCTTTCCACGTGTTGCTGAAACATCCACAGCCATGTTTGTGTGTGTGGCTATGAAGATCTTCCTAAGTCAGTGTCACACGGGGAAGACAGCCCCAAGTCCCCGGCTGTGAGGTCTGAGCGTGGCCCCCCGTCTGCTGCAGGTGTGAGGCTGCAATTGCCGCACTTCCAGCAGGGTGCAGTGGGGCTCCGGCCTCCAGGCCCGTGTGCTGGCTCTGGGATGTTGGGCAAGCGCCTCATGCCCTCCCAGCCTCGGCTGGTGACCATGTGGTGGTCCTTGCCCGCTCCCAAGAGCTCATGCAGTATCCACATGGTGCTGCAGAGATCAAAGTGGACTCGTTTCTCTACTCCCCCTGGCGTCTCTGTCAGCCTGGAAGCCCAGAGGAAGCTGGCTTTGCTGCTGGGAGATGCTCTCCAGCCGCCCAGGGTGCAAGTGGTGACCTGGAGTTGGTCAGCCTGTGAGTCAGGACAGTGGGCACCAGGGGGCAGCATTTCCTTTGCAGCCAGGAAGCTGCCAGGACAAGTTTGCGGGCCTTCCTGCAAGTGGACAACAGCCCCCTCCCCGCCCCCCGCCCCCCAGGGGGGGATGTGAGTTTGTGCACAAAATGCCTCAGGAGTCGTTCTTGAAAACTCTAAAGGTGAAGTGGCAGAGGCGAGAGGCCGTGGTTACCAGGGCACGGGTCCAGGGCTAAAGCAAGGCAGCAGGCACCCAAAGGCTGCATTCTGGGCCAAGGTCGCCTTTGCAGAGACCCCCGAGTCGGGCAGGACTCGGTGAGGAGCGAGGCAGCAGACTCATGAAGAAAGACCCACTCCAGCCCTCCCTGCACACTCACCCCTGGGCGCCTGGCTCCACCGGCTGTGTTTGCATCAGGAGGAGGGCCGACTGCTCCCCGGGCCGCAGCTGTTGCGGCTGGACTGTAGACCGGCTGCTGCACCGTGACGCCCCACTCCTTGCCTCTCCACTGCTGAGAGCTGTTCTCTGTAATAGTACCCGCGGCTTGGCCCCTCTCGAGCTCAGCCCCTCTCAGGCTCAGCCCTCCCCTGACTGCCACACACCCACACCCTTCTGGCTGCTTAGCTCCCTCCCTTGAAACAGGAGCCCGGTACTTGATGTCAGAGGCGCTGGCCGAGATCCCTGACCCCAATTCAGACCCCGCACCAAGGGTGGAGGGAGGTGGCTGCAAGCAGAGGTGGGGCCTGGTCAGCAGGAGCCAGTGGGGCCACGCAGAAGCCTTAGGGTGGCATAGGGGCCTCCATGGAGGAGTGCAGGATGCACAGGTGGTCCTTTTGTGATAGTGCTGGCTGACCATGCTGCGGGCAGAGGAGGAAGGCTTCAGAACGGGTGGGCCGGGGGTACTTGGCCCCCAGCCAGTCTGAAAAGCAGCATACCTAGCTTCGTGCCAGGGACTCTCCACAGCCAAGGGCTTTCGTTCCTCAGAGCTGCGGTTGGTGTCCCTGGTCCCCAGGGAGGAGGCCACCCGGCCCCGATCTGGTGTCCAGAGAGGAGGCCACCCCGCCCCGATCTGGTGTCCCTGGTCCCCAGGGAGGAGGCCACCCCACCCCGATCTGGAGCTCAGCAGGGAGGTGCTTTGTCTTTACATGCAGTTCCATGTGGCATTGTGGCTGCAATCCAGGGACTTGGAGAACAGAGTCACAGAAGTGGATGTCACTTACACAGGACCCTGTGTCCACTTGCCATGCTGCAGGGCCCAGAGGACGTGTGTGGTAGAGCTGGGCCGGTCTAACTGTGAGGCAGCCACCTGTGGCCACTATGTTGGTGCTGGAGCAGGCCCAACCACAGCCTCCATGGAGACGCGGTACTGTAAGCAGACAGCACAGAGACAGGCACCCAGGAGCTCCCATCCCAGCTGGCACCTGGCGTGGCACCATACAGCTGCTCCCTCCTTGCTGGCCATGTGAGGGACGTGGGGGATGTCGCTGCCTAACCCCAGCCCCTTGCTCTCGCTTTCTGCATCCTGTCTTCTTTCTCTTCCAGAATGCCAATCTGGCCCCTTGTGGAGCAGACCTGGATTCCAGCTGGGGCACACGAGGTACACACGCTGGGGACCCATGAGGGTCTCTCGCTGAGGCAGGGGCCTGTCAGGGCTCCCTCAGCCTCCTCTGATGCGGGCCATGCCACTGGAGGTCGGCTCGCTTACCTGCCTCTTGCGTGGGCGCCCGCTCCTCCCAAGGAACACAGTGCCTCACTCGGCACATGGGGCGCAGCCACAGGGTGTGAGCCTGGCAGATGAGGCCAGACCATGTTCTACTCTGCTTGCCAGGTGGCCCCTGGCCCGTCCAGTAGTACTGTGGCCTCCAGAGCTGGAGGGGGCCGGGGGTTGAGCCACGCACGCCTGCTCGCTGCTGGAGCGTGCAGCAGCCTTGCCCACAGGCACTGCCTCCTCTGAGGCATTCTGCATGAACATGCCCGTGAGCTGGCTCAAGGGGCACATGCGGTGTGGGGTGTGCCATCTGTGCTCTGTGGGCTCCCTGACACCTTAAGAAGACACTGAATCTGGAAGACAGCATTGTGACCAGTGGGCTGCTGAGCTCAGGAGCTTAGCAAGGAGCGGACAGGGGATCAGGCAGTGGCCTGGACATTAAGCGCTTAGCAGGAAGCGTCTTGGTCGGGTGGCCCTGACCACCAGGCGGTGATGTCACAGCTGAGCAGGGCATGTCAGCTTCCCATCTGGCCTGCAGCCTCCTGACCCTCCTCCCCGCCCTGCAGCCCAGGACTAGAGCCTGCTCGGGGTAACGGGTGGGGTGCTGCCTGGCCCGGCAGGCAGGGGTGGGAGTGGGGAAGGCCCACCTTTGAGACAATCCCTTGCACTTCTGACCTGCCTTGGCTCTTTGTCTTACAGAGTACAAGGTAAGACCTCGATGCGCCCTGCCGCTCCTGCCCTGGTGACCAGGCCCCTTCTGTCGTGCTTCCCTGCTGTGGGAGTGTGCACCCGAGCTGACCTCTGCTCTGGTGCCAGCATGTGCCTGCACCCCGAGGTGAGCCCACCGTCTCCTTCCGGACAGGTCTACCCTTATGACGCCCTCATCGTCACCAACCGAATCCGCGTGAAGCTGCCCAAGGACGTGGACCGGACGAGACTGGAGGTACTCAGGGTGGGGGGGTCTGGGGGGCAGGGCTACTTTCTGCTGTGTGAGTCTTGCCGGCACCTCAACCGAGGGCCCCACTGTCAGGCCCATAGAGTCTCCCGGGGGACCAAGATGTGGTCAACAGTGGCCGCTTGGCAAGATGGTGCGCTGGCTGGGTGGCAGTGAGGGTCTGTCTGATGGTAGCAGCTGCACAGCCTCCAGAAGGGGCCAAACTTCACGGGCCCCCGTGCGGATGCACTTAGCTTATCAGTAGTGACAGCCCAGCGGTGGGCAGCTGGCTCCAGAGAAGGGGGTCAGTACTGAGGAGGGCTGGCAGAGATCTGAGTGCGTGCTCCTACTGTATGCGATCAGGAAGGGTGGCCTGCAGGGAGGCAGGCTGAGCCAAGACCAGGGCTTGCTGACTGACCTGAGACAGGGGGCCTGGCAGGCAACAGCTGGGCCTGTCAATTGTCTGCATTCAGGAGGAGCAAGGGAGGGTGGCAGTGAGCAGGTGTCCCAGGCCAAAGCTGTGAGCCAAGGGCAAGGCATGTCCCCGGAGGGTGGGCAGCTCGCACAGGGAGTCCCCTGATCAAGTACCCCTGAGCCTTTGACATGAGGTGTGCCACGTGGGGCAGGGAGACACCCAGGGCCGGGGCGACGGGGACACATGACTAAGAGCCTTCCAGGGAGCCCGTGCTGGGCATCAGCTTTGGCCGCAGGGAACCCCAGGAGCAGGGCTGAGCACGTGACCCCAAGCCTCGGGCTGCAGGTGAGAGCTACTCCGGGGCAGCCTGGAGGCCCCTGTTAACACCTCGGGGCAGGAAGTCTGTCCCCCAGCCTAGGATGGCCCCCAACACACCCATGCCCTCCTCCTGCAGCGCAGCCGGCCAGGAGTGAGCCAGACACATCCCCTGGTAGGTGCTGCCCTCCGACTCTGAGGCGACAGTGGGATGGCCCCTGGTGTTTCTACCAGGAGAAACAGGTTGCTTTTCTGATACAAAACCAAACCCTGCCTATTGGAAGAGGCCGGGCAAATACAAGGAACGTACAAATCCTCGGAATTCCCCCACCAGTCTGGAGCTGACTGACCCTGGCTGACCTGCTTCCCGAAAGCTCGGCGCAGACACGGCAAAAAGCGAATCCCGGGGTGGATCCTCGGGGCACGTGCCCGGCAGGCAGCTGGCGTCCGGCCGTGCCCTGCACACTAGCCGTGCCGATGAGGCGGATCTGCCTGCCCAGGTGGGTGGGGAGGTGCTTGTCTTGGCACCAGGGAGAATTCAGATGAGCCGCACAGTGCAGTAGCGGGGTAGCAAGGTGAGATGGGGCGGGGCACTGGCCAGAAGGCACTGGCACTTGTGCAGACAGAACCAAGGAGGAGGGAGGAGGGACAGCAAGAGGGCGGGAGAAGGAAGGAGAGACAGCATACTGGCAGCGGGATGGCAAGGTGGGAGGGGCAAGGCGTCCCTCAGGGCCTCGTCCCTGAGAGCACCTGTCCAGACTGAGCCCTAGGTGGGGGATAAGGAAGGGAGTGGGAGAGAGGAGGCAGAGAAAAGAGGAAGGGAGGGAGAGAAGGACAGAGAGGGGGAGGAGGAAGAGAGCCCACCCATTCAGGCAGCTCGCATGAGCAGGCCCCAGGCAGGCACAGAGTGTGGGCCATGCAGTTGTCTGTCCAGGGTGCCCCGTTGGCAGACAGCAGGGGACCCGGAAGAGCTTTTGTGGGGGCCTGGGCAGTGGAGAGGGCCTCTGACAGGGATCCCAAGAGGTCCATGCAAGGTCAAGTGGCTGCCTGTGAGAGGAAGCTGACTGACCCAACAGGCAGGCACAGGGGTGCAGGCCGTGTGGACACCTGCTCTCCTTCCCCGGGGCTGAGTGAGCACACAGCACACGCCTTGGCTGTGAAAACCCAGGAGCACCTGCAGGAGGAGGCAGTCTGTGGAGTAGTGAGGCAGATGTGTGGTGGGAAGACCCAGGTATCGTGTGTGTGTGTGTGTGTGTGTGTGTGATTGTGTGTGTGTGACTGTGTGTGTGAGACTGTGTGTGTATGTGCTGTCAGGCCTAGGTATTGTAAGTGTGTGACTGTGTGTGTGTGTGTGTGTGTGTATGTGTGTGCTGTCCAGGCCCAGGTATAGTAAGTGTGTGTGTGTGACTCTGTGTGTGTGTGTGTGCGCGCGCTGTCCAGGCCCAGGTATAGTAAGTGTGTCTGTGACTCTGTGTGTGTGTGTGTGTGTGTGTGTGTGTGTGTGTGCGCGCTGTCCAGGCCCAGGTATTGTGTGTGTATGCGCACACACCCAGGTATTTTGTGTGTGTGTGTGTATGCACTGCCAAGCCCCAGGTATAGAGTGTGTGTGTGTGACTGTGTGTGTTTGTCCAGTGTGGTCAGGAGGCCTCAGAGCTGCCCTTTGCCAGGGTGCCTGGTGTGCCCTCCCTTCAGATCACCACCATCTGGCTCCAGTCTTGTGCCTACCGTGTGGCCGTGCTGGTGTGTGGGTGGCATGTGAAGACAGTGGCTGGCGTGGGCATGACTTTGAGTTTCCCCAGTGGCTCTTCATCCTTTTCTCTCTTGATTGACACAACAACCTTTAGTGATAACAATTTTGTTTTGAAGTTGAGGAAAGTGCAGGGTTTTTTTTTTCCGAAAGTGCAGTTTTTAACAAGAGTTTTAATTGCAAAATTCACATAAGGCACAATTCCTTCTAACTCCTCTGAAAGTCTAGCGTTGGTGGTGCCAGGTGCAGTGCTGAGTGCAATACGTGGCCAGTGCAGTGTGTGGCGTGGTCGGTGGCACGGGGTTCGTTGTGTGGCCAGTGGTGTCTTTACATTGCATATGCTGTGTGGCCATCACCCTGCTGTGGCTCCAGACCTCATCACCCCCAGACGAGCTTATCTGGATGAGTCGGTCCCCCTACCCACCCACCACCTGCTCCATCCTGTGCCCCCAGTTCCCAGCCCGGCGCCACCCCACCCACCCCCGCCATGCATTCTTGGATTTGTCTGTTCTGGCCACTTGATAGCAGTGGAACAGCACAGTATGATAATTGAGTTGGCTCATGTGACATGACTTTGGGGCTGTGTCAGTGGACCTGCTGGCCCCGGGAGACACATGTGTAGGAGTCCGGGGCTCTGGTGAGTCACTGCTATGTCTCACTGCTGCACCCAAAGAGAGACCCCGGGCTCAGGGGCCTGGTGAGCTGCTGACCCCCGCCCGCCTTCTCTCTGCAGAGACACCTGTCGCCTGAGCAGTTCCAGGAGGTGTTTGGCATGAATGCCGAGGAGTTTGAGCGCCTGGCGCTGTGGAAGAGGAATGACCTCAAGAAGAAGGCCCTGCTCTTCTGACGGCCCTGCTGGGTGTGCCACGTACAAACCAAGCTCTGGGCAGGCCTCTCCTGCACCCATGTCAGTGGGGGTGGGCAGCGGGCGCCCGAGGGAAGCTGTGCCAGGGCCTTGGTCTATAGGAGGTCTCCCAGCAGGTGCAGTGATGCGCGTTCCCACCGTAGTTTAGGGCTGCCACCCCTCGCTTGCCGCCACCCCTCCCCTGCCATGGCTTATGGCCAGGGAGGAGTTTGGGCAGACCTTTGCCAGTATCCTCAGAGTCGCCCAGGCCCCGGAGACAGAGACAGCAGGGATGGCGCTGTGGCAGTCTCCCGTGGGTAGGTAGGTGGCTGGGCAACTGCTGCTGCCAGCTGGGTCTGGGCTGGTCTCTAAGGATGGCTTCTGCCCCAGCAGTGCCCTTCATGCGCTGTGTCCTTCCTCCAACTCACCCACTAGCTGCCTAAACATTGTCTTTACACAACACAGAGGTTTTTATTTTGTTAAGCAGAGGGTGCAAGGGCGTTAATGAAGCGTGTCACATTCGGGCCCCTGCGAAGGGGCGTGGCCTTACCTCCCAGTATGAATCTGTGTATCCCAGCTCCCGGAGGGCCCCTTGCAGCCAGGCCTCCGTGTCCAGTGTCTTGCCCGCGTCACCCAGGTGCCCCGGGGACAGGGCCCATTTGTCCTGCCATCCTCCTCACCGTGGTGATCCCACATCATCTCTTGGTGGCCACAGGCCTGAGATTGCCATGCTCCTGGCCCAGTGTCCAGGGTTCTTTTCTATACTTAGAGTGGGGCCAGGGTATCCCTGACATGTGGCTATTACCCTGCCCAGCCCCAGCATAGCCCTGAAACAGCCTAGTGCAGTGGTGTGGAAATGGCTGGCGGACTGCAGGGGGCCAGGGGGAGTCAGCGAGTAGGTTATATCTGGAGGCCCATCACGCACGGGGCACAGGTGGTGCCACCACATCAGCTTTGCAGGCCTCTGTGTGTGTGGCCCCAGTCCCCATCCCCAAAGGGACCTTACTCAGTGTCCTGTTTGGCTCTCGGCTCCTGGCTGGCCTGGCTTCCCCTGAGCCGGGCAGTCGGTAGCCCCTTAGTGTCTGCCCTGAATGCCCAGAAGGCCCCGCTGTCTTGTCAGCGCCACGTCCCATGCCGTCCCAGGGAGGCCAAGAAAACAAAAGGCTACATGCTTGAACCACGGACGTCCGATGTGCACGGCTGCCCAGGGCAGGGCCCGTGTCAGCAGGGCTGTGGCCTGTGTGTGTCAGCACTGCGCACTTACAGCAGGGCTGTGGCCTGTGTGTGTCAGCACTGCGCACTTACAGCAGGGCTGTGGCCTGTGTGTGTCAGCACTGCGCACTTACAGCAGGGCTGTGGCCTGTGTGTGTCAGCACTGCGCACTTACAGCAGGGCTGGCGTGATGCCCCCTCTCAGTGGCAGCAAGCAGAGCCACAAGATGAGGTACCTCTCAGCAGCGCGACCTGGGGACCCCCGGTCGACATCAGTCTGCGGCTCCCCAGGAGCCTGGTACCTGGTGCCATACAGGGCACACACAGGGTGCTCGGAGGGCCAATGGTCTCTGACCCTGGGATGCAGGCGCAAGCCTAGCCCAGCCTGGGCAAACGCGGATGTGCGCCCCTCCTTCTCTCACCATCCAGCTTTCCAACACCCTTCCGCCTGTCCCCAGCCCCCGCTTTACACATCATGCCCCACCAGCAGCCAGAGTGAATCAGGCCACGCTCTGACACCGTCTTCCATGGCCGTGGCCCCACGCACTGTCCCTGCTCCTTCCTGCCACTGCCTGTGTCACTCTGTACTCCTACTAGGGGCTGAGCCTGCCTTCCTTCCCCGCTCTGCCCACCCATCCTTGGAAGGTGTCCAGCACCTCCAGCACGTGCATGCCAGCACCCCTCTCCTCTGCTGCGTCCCTGTCCCTCCCTCTCGTCGCAGCACTCTGCACACAGGAATGTCCTTGAGGCTTTGGCCTGGAGCCTTTGGGTCCCCTCACGCTGTGTGATGAGGGAAACGCTGTGTGCACACTGTCCAGTGTGGCAGCTGCCAGTGCTCAAAGCATGGCATGAGTGCCCCGGAGCTGCCGTCAAGTGCCAACATGCTGACTGCAGGGGCTGAGCGTTACTGCGGCCCCCACCCTGTGGGACCCACCACAGGGAGCCCTGGCACCCATCACCCTTGGGAGGCCCCACTGGGGTGGCCTTGCTGCCGCCACGCTCATGCCTGGCCCGGCCCTGGGGGTGTGCAAGGGGCTGGATGTCCTCCAAGGCTCCAGATGTACCATGTCTGCCACCTGACCCCCTACCCAAACGTCCCAAGGTCCTACCCACCCCCAAGACTCAGACTTTCCCTGTGCCAGGCTCTGCCCCATATGGGGACAGATGGACTGAGCCGGGGGGCAGAGACTGCAGGGTCACTCCCAGGCCCCTCTCTAAAATGCCCTGGTAGCGGGGAGTAGGCCAGGCAGGGTCCACACAGGCCTCTGTGTTTGGCCCAGCAGTGATGCGTGTTACCCTGAGTCCAGGCCCACTGTCCAGGGCAGGTCATGTGACTCTGCCTGGTGCTATGGGATCTGGGAGGCGTGGGCATCCCAGTGTCCCAGAAGGGGAGAGGACAGGAACTAGACACAGCCTGAGCTGCTTGCTGTGGTCCTTCCGTGACCCTCCCCATGAGCCCGTGGTCCTTCCGTGGCTCACCCCCCGTGAGCCCGTGGTCCTTCCATGGCTCCCCCATGAGCCCGTGGTCCATCTGTGGCTCCCCCGTGAGCCCGTGGTCCTTCCGTGGCTCGCCCCATGAGCCCGTGGTCCTTCCGTGACTCGCCCCATGAGCCAGTGGTCCATCTGTGGCTCACCCCGTGAGCCCGTGGTCCTTCCGTGGCTCACCCCCCGTGAGCCCGTGGTCCTTCTGTGACTCGCCCCATGAGCCAGTGGTCCATCTGTGGCTCACCCCGTGAGCCCGTGGTCCTTCCGTGGCTCACCCCCATGAGCCCGTGGTCCTTCTGTGACTCGCCCCGTGAGCCCGTGGTCCATCTGTGGCTCCCCCATGAGCCAGTGGTCCTTCTGTGGCTTACCCTGTGAGCCCATGGTCCATCTATGGCCTGCCCCGTGAGCCTGTGGTCCTTCCGTGGCTCACCCCCCATGAGCCAGTGGTCCATCTGTGGCCTGCCCCGTGAGCCCATGGTCCATCTGTGGCCCGCCCCGTGAGCCAGTGGTCCTTCTGTGGCTCGCCCTGTGAGCCCGTGATCCATCTGTGGCTCGCCCCGTGAGCCCGTGGTCCATCTGTGGCTCCCCCATGAGCCAGTGGTCCTTCTGTGGCTCGCCCTGTGAGCCCGTGGTCCATCTGTGGCCCGCCCCATGAGCCCATGGTCCATCTGTGGCTCGCCCCATGAGCCCGTGGTCCTTCTGTGGCTTACCCTGTGAGCCCATGGTCCATCTGTGGCCTGCCCCGTGAGCCTGTGGTCACTCCTCAGCTGTTACCAGGCCAGCAGATGACTCATGTGCTGGCCTCAGACCAACCACCAGGCCCTCCATATCTCTGCCATGCGCAGGGCTGACGCTCACCCCCCCCCCCCCACATTGAGGGCAGGACCCAATCCCACACCGTCCCCCACCCCTGACACATATGGCACTTCTGAGCAGCTGAGTTATGGAGGATACTGCTTTGGGTGTTCAGTCAGACAGTTGCAGAGGGGCTGGAGCTGCGGCTGAGTGGGCAGTCCCTGCAGTCCTGCTCTGTTTCCCATCCGGCTCCCAGCCGATGCACCTGGAGAAGCTGCGGAGGACAGGCTGACTGGGCCCCTGCGCCCACCGGGGAGATCCAGACGGGGTCTGAAGCCCCTGGCTTCGGCCTGGCCCAGCTCCGGCCGTTGCCACCGTTTGAGGGGTGAACTAGTGGATGGAAGATCTCTCTGTCTTTGTCTCTCCCTCCCTCTGTCTGTAACTCTGCCTTTCAAATAAATAAAAAAAAATAATAAATCTTTAAAAAAGCCTACCAGTGCCAGAGAACTCTTACGGGGTGACCCGTCTCACTGCTGGCCTGGGTCCCCCAAGGTGGACACAGGGTCCTCCCGTGCCAAGAGCCTGCTCTGGGCCTGCCCCAGGATCCCTAGCGCCTGGGGGTGCTGTGAGAGGCAGGGTTGTCCAGCACCCTGGTTTGCAGAGGGGTCCCTGCGGCACAGAGAGGCACAGGTGTCTCAAGCCTCAACCAGGACTGCCCAGTGCAGAGTCTGACTGGGGGGGCCACATTCTGGGTTGTGATAGATGCATTGCTGGCCTGGGTGCTGGCTGTGGTAGCTGTGCCAGGCCCAGCGTGGAACCTGGTGTGGGGGAGGGTTGTCACCCTCCCTGGACCCGTGGAGGGGCCAGACACATGAGTGGGGCCTACCTGTCCCTTCATCTCACACACACACACCTCAGGTTGCCCAGCTGAGGTGACCTCCCAGCTCTGGCTATGTCGGGGTGGTGCACAGGCCTAGCCAGGGGCACCTGGGGCTGTTTGTCTCTCCCCATCCTTGGGCCTCCCACCAGCAGCCCCAGCAGCCCCAGGCCCTGGGCTTGCTCTCTTTGCATCTGAGGTGGGGAGGGGTCCACACGGAGGAAAGGAAGCCCACCCGGCCCCCAGCCCAGCAGCCTCGGCAGCCATCCCCAGGGAAAGCTCCACGGAACCAGGAATGCTGGCTCGGAGAGCTCCACGGAACCGGGAATGCTGGCTAGGAGAGCTCCACGGAACTGGGAATACTGGCTCGGAGAACTCCACGGAACCGGGAATGCTGGCTAGGAGAGCTCCACGGAACTGGGAATACTGGTTCGGAGAACTGGTTGACAGGAAGCACTGAAGGAGGAAGAAAGCCCCAACACGAAGCATTCCACTGAGACAAGGCCGAGCTGAGAGGACCCCCAGAGGTTACAGTCAAGTTCTTCATCCTCATTACAGGTGCTTCTGACTCCATTCTACAGATGAGCAAACTGAGGCAGGGATGGGCAGAGGCTGGATGTGAACCTAGGAGTCTGAGAATTGAGCAGGCCTTGTCTGTACCTCATCTACCAACCCCTACCATAGTTAGGCAAACCGAGACATCAAGAGCTTGGTTGAAGGGGGTAGGTGCTGTGCCCAGGCCCAGGGTCTCTGGGACCCTGTGTGATCTGGCCTTTGAGGACTCCTCTGTCTCCTCTCTACAACTGGGACATGCCCATCACACAGTCTCCGTGGCCCCGGGAGTTTGGGTGAAGAGCCCGTTTCGCCTGCCACGCCAGTCACCGTGTGGCCAGGTGGATGGATGAATCGGTGCCCAGCAGCTTGCCCTCAGCAATCGTGCGCATCCCAGGTCAGCAGCGTCACAGTGGCCATGCGACCGGAGACCTCCCAGTCCAGCCAGTGTCAGCAGGGGGCAGATGTAAGGGCCAAGGAAAAGGCCACCCCAAACTCCAAGCCTGGGGGAGAGAGGCCCCCTGCCCCAGGGGCTGGACCAGAC